CAACTTTTTAGGTTTGTTACTTTAGCTACACAAATTTAGTGATAAAAAAGAAAAATGGTTAAATTTGTTTTGAAATATGATTATTACCAATATAAGACCATATAATCAAAATTAACATAATTTGTAAGTCACTTTTTGAAAGCATGAAAGCAAATAAATAGTTGATTGATTGATAAGAGTTATATATATTATTCTCTTTGAGAAACTCATCAGGAACATCTGTAAATTCAGCAAGATACTTCAAGGACAATCTGATAAACTTTTGGCACATATGGCAAATTTGTTTGACAATAAATGATTTATATTCTATGATGTTTAAGATTTGGAATATCATTTTAGTCATGTTTATGAACATGGTAAATTACATTCTCTTCACAGTCAGAAAACATCATTAAAATGTAAATTGCAGGAATTGCTCTGATAAATGGTGCCAAAACTTTTAAAATTCTGTTCTGAACGGAATACAGTACTAAATTGACTATGTGAAACAATTAACATTAATCGTAGACTAAAATCAGAGTTGAAAATTATTCATAGGCTATTAGTAAAAAGAAAATTGAAAATTGATCAGTTCAAATTCATTTAAGAAAAACTAAAACAAGGATTAGTCTCTCTTTTGACAATAATGAAAGAACCAATAATGAAAAAAAACATTGATAAATCAAAGTACAAAAGGCAAATCATGTTATTGTAAAGCTGTTACATATTGCTTCTTTACTTTGTTGGTTCTAACTTTCTTTGAAGTAACTTATTTGTTATTATTGAAGATATTACTGTTATACTCATTAATACCCAACTACTGACTACCCACTACCAGTAAATAGAGTATGATGTCATCAGAAAAACTGCCATATCATTGAGTTTGCTTTATACACATTGCTTCTGCCATGTTTTACACTTGAACTTTAAAGGGAGAGTTGCAGCATTTCAGGGAGTAATTCTTACTTTGGTATCAGAAACATGAATTGTTCTGCTAAACTAATCAGTAATCACTTTCGAGTGTATCCATTGTTATCTATGTTTAAAAGATTTTATTTTGAATATCTGTTGATGATGTATGACTCAATCATACTGTACAAGACATTCAACTTTCCAATACCCCAAATTTCAGAGAGAAGATAAGCTTGTGAACAAAATAAATAAAAGGTTAAAGTTCTTGTTTGGAAAGAATTATGCATTTCATACAGTTTTGAAGACTATTTACATTTATTACATACAATTATAATCCTACTATACTGATACGAAGAAAATCAGGCCCATGTAATAATTGAATCCATATCACACATATGTTGAAAACTACTTTTTTCTACTGGAATCGAATGATTCAGTAACCATTTTTTCCACAAGCAGTACTGTTATTACCTTTCTTGACAAGCATATCGAGTCAAGTTGCAGTGTAGGCTATAGAGAACACCCTATGACATCATCTTATGTTTGTAAACATCACATTCCAGAGGGAATCCCACGGTGAAGTACACAACGTAGGTCAAATTGACAGACCAATTAAACGCTTTATTATTGTGCACTGGGTGTGGTACTTTATAGTTAGTACTCCAATCAAAACAATAAACAAAATAGTATGTAAAGTCGAACAGCACACATGTCTATAGGATTTCAATATTGCATTCAGGCCCTGAATGCCGAGCGCCAAGCCCAGCACTAAAGTGCAGTTCGACCATTATATTAAAGGCTTTAATCATCCTCCCAAAAATGATACTTTTAAATCTTCACATGTTCTAGACAATTCAAAGTCATTTTCTGCAATGTTGGAAAGTATAGTTGTGTTGGGTAAGTGGTTACAATCTTCACCATATTATGGGCAGTTAGTTGATGATCTCATGATATGGATAGAATATGGATTAGATTACGTCCTTGAAGTGACAATAGTCAAAATTTCTATGGTAGTTTTTAGTTAAATTGCAGGATAATTGGAGGTCAGATGGTAAGTGCTATTAGATAGCTGTAATTGTGCTTTATCAGCCAGTGAAACAGCCATTGTAACGACTGTATTTCATTAACATGTAAAACAAGTGCAGGAAAAAAGAAAAAAAAGAACTAGGCTTGGCATATCCTTCAATTTGTATGAAATATAATTATATTTAAAGAATGGTGTGACTTTTTGATAGAACATACTAGTGCCATATTTATCATGAAAATAAAAGATAATAGATACAAGTTGCACCCTCTTGCAAATAGTATGACATATATATAAATATATACCAGCTGGTGAAAGATCATGTTTTATGGGAGAAATTTACAAGTAGATATCTATTGATAAGAGATGTTCATATAAAAAAAATTGATGTATCTACCACTCCTGAAAACAAATTCTGGAATGCACATAAAAATGCATTCGTTTCTGTATCAGCACTGTTGAATAGAACTTTCTAAATATTTTCTTGCTGTATCATGTTTAAGACAAACCATTTCACCTACGAAAGTTTCCTGAGAAAATGAATAGCTTCCATAAGGCCCCCCAGTAATAATGCCTTTCAAAAATAAAAGTCTTTTCACCAGAAAATCTTGACCATTTGACATCATCTGACTCAAGTAAAAAAACTTGATACCAAACCAACAGGGAACAAGACATACAACCGGGTTATGCTGATGGTCAATTATTTAATGTGATTTAATTTATACCATGTGTTGATAATCGGTCGTCGAAGTGAGTTGATGCGATTTGCTTAAATTATTACACCGGAGATTATATCAGAGAAGTTAGTTGAGTGTTGTATTATTGTGATCTTCTGTCTTTTGCAGTTCGGTTTTGGTATGTGTTGCAGAAACACTAGGTTGGGTCTGTGTCACAAGAAGAAACCATTGAGTTAAGCATGTAAATAAATAGGAATACTGCTTACTTTAATGTATTGTAAGAAATCTATTTAATTGTTATATCTGTTTTATTCTTGAGAATTTCAAGATAAACAATAAATTTTCTCAGTGTGATAATATCTTTAATGTACCAAACTATTACCTGTAAGATCAACTTTCAACATAGCTGTAATTCCACAGAGTATTTATATTATATAAAGTCAATATTAATATGATATAAGGTATATTGTTAGTATTGAGATGTATGTAAGGGCAATATTGACTTAGTAATATAAGACCAAAAATGACTTTTTGGGGCATAGAAAATGTTATAAGAAAACTGCCATCAAATATTTGATCAAAATTATTTTCTTTTGTAAAAAGGATGGTTGATCAAAATTATTCTGATCTAATTCTAAATCTTGAGAGTCCTGTTTCACAAATTAAACATTCTGCTTCAATTTGGGCTGTCCTAGGTCATTAAATATATGACTATCTCTTGTTATTAATGATCCCTTGTTAAAAGAAGTATTTAAGTTTGAATATGTAAATTTGTCCTATTTCTCAGTTCTGTGGTGAGCACTTTAAATGTCCACAGAGCAACTGTTCGTATGCCAGAGTGCAAGGGTCAAAGCTACTGAACCACCAATATTTTCTCATATTTTGATAGTCAAACATGAATATTTAGAGCATTTTATTTCTATATCTGGGCAATCTTCCTTAAAATATATAGTCTTGAATTAGGGTAAAGGTTGAAGTTTTCAGTGATGCAGACATTTTTCTGATGTAAACACTTGGATAAGCAGCTTACTGAGCTGAAAGCCAACTTTTATTTGTATTTAAGACATGTACTTATCTTCCTAATTAAGTTTTCTATTAAACCCTTGTACTTAGTTCTGGTTCAATTCAGGTGGAGACACTGAGTACACTTTTCTCCTTCACTGAATTAAAAGGCAAAACATTTTGTGCATTGCTATTTAAATGAAAAGAATTTTCATAATGTTATGCATAAGTATGTTAATTTTATTTTTCCTTTTTATACCTTGAATGATGAAGAATATGCAAGTCAAATATTTAAAAGGAGTGACATTCATGGAATTCCTCTTTAATCTAAAATTGTAAATGTTATTGTATATTCACAATGATAACAAATTTTAAGAAACGTAAACTGCAGTTAAAGGTATTTTCTGAATTCTTCTATTTGTATCATTTAGACTTCTCATCTGACATATCTGGTTCCAGAAAACTTGTTGACCAGTTTACTTATATATTATAACCTGTCAACAAATTGCAGCTTTAACAAATTGCAGCTTTATAGAGATTCAGTTGATGATTTTTATACTCGTGCATGAAATGGGGGGCATATATATTGTCATTTAGCTCGTAAACACCCTAGAAGAAAACTTGGTGTTTGTTATCACCCAAGGATAGACCCTATTGAAAATCAGAAGAATCAAAAGATATTTAGTGCGAGTTATTGTCTTTGTTTTTGGAAACGTGTTCAATTTTACCTCATCAGCATTCTTGATGGCACAATTCTTGACAGATTGTGACGAAATTTGGTGAATTATTTATTATCACCTGTGGATGAACCCTATTCAAAATCAAAAATGTTTTATAGGAGCTATTGACCTTGTTCTTAAAAACTCTTTCAATTCTAGCTCTAGAAGGCTCTCAAAAGAAGTGTATGACTGAAGGTTGAAAATTTCATTTGATTGTTACTGAACTGCCAAATATTTTTATTCAAAATCAAAGCTGCCAGTGGGCGTATATTACCTTGCCCGGCAAGCAATCTTTTTAATGAAGATATGATACTTTCATTTACTCTTTGAATAGGAATTTTCTACTCAATAAGACTCATAAATTTTGTTGATAAAAATTCTGACAGTTGTTGTTTGAAAGGTTAAGAATGAAAAAAAGGAATACTAATGGTTATATGAATACTATGATTTTAATCTCACCAAGTCAAATTATTCACATCTTTGTTCTTTGTTACCAAGTGACATAGTTGAAATATTTACCAGTAGAAGACATTATGGAGGTGTCATGATATGTTTATTTATTTATTGTACCATCCATACTTAATGTGAATACAAGATGTATTTAACATAATATATTATATTACTCCCATTTCTACTTCTAGTCATGTTAAACTGACATTTTGTCTATGTCATGACTAATTGAGGGATGTAGATTAGGTCATGTTTTGATGGTCATGATGTCTGACCTGTGTGATTAAATGTAGGCTATGGCAGTCAGTCACCAATCAATGTTTTACACAAACTGTCCTATTTGCATGTTCTATGCCTAGACTAGAACAATCTCCTTATTTTTTGAGTTTCTGAGACATCTTTTTTGCAATTGACATCCAGAATTAGAATATTGCAACATTAAAAAGAATCCAGCTGATTTTATTCTAATGACAACTAGATTTATCTACAGATAACCAGATTGTACTGAGTATAATACCACATACAGACCTAATACATATCAATCTTGGATAACTTGAAGTTTATCTAGTAGTTCTTCCCGACAGAGATGTGATCATCAGAGACAGAAATAGAAAACCAATCCTCTCTTACCATTTGTTTGGTATATTGAGTTAACTAGCCACCCCCTACTAACCTAATCTGTTGCACAGACTGTTTGCATTATTAAAACTGGATTTCCCCAAGCTAGAGAAATTCATGAAATCTTACTTACAAGTTATCATCTACAGTCTTCTGTTCTGAAGGAAATGACCTATTTACAAGAAAAACTCAGATGTATTTGGTGAAGAAAAAATTAACTTCCTCTATTTTATTTCATAGTAAACATGTTCAGTATGAATCAAATAATACTTACTTTGAAATAGCCTTGTATAATGTTTCAGTGATGGTGACAATTGTCAAGATTGTTTTAGATTCAGAAGCTGTTTGTCCCATTTGATGCAGTATCTTGTTCATAGTTTATTATTCATAAATACACCCACATTACACACACCACATCAATCTCAGATGGTTAGTTTACACGAGAATCTTCCATATTGCACCAAATTCAAAATAATTATGGGACAGTGGGGTGGGTCAGGTGACAGTTATTATCTTGATGCTGTTCTTACCCTTACCTTGTCCCAACCATTGGATGTTTAAGCTGTCTTTATCTTAAAGTTACCATATTTTGGACAACAAACAGCCTATTGTTAAAAGTTTTTTTTAGTTAGCTTGAATTACTCCAATATATGGTAATCTATAGCATTATGATCTGATCCTGTTCAGTAGCTTGTACAGCAATAAATAACAGTATAATATTTTTATGTATGAACTAATGATTCATAATTTTTATACCTTTCAGATATCTACATAATAATGTGATAAAACGTCTACCAAAAGGTATATTTTCTGGTTTGACCAGTTTACGCCGGCTGTAAGTATTTAAATTTAACTGTTTTAGACGCAACTAAATCACTGACACTATTCTCTTTCTGTTATGTTATTTACCTCATATAGTTTATAAATATATATATTTACTAACTCAAACTGTACATAACATCATCATAACAATAGACTCTAGCAATATTATAATGAAAATCATAGAACCATAGATAAAACTAAACCATAAGCTAAAGATAATGTCACATTTGGAGTAATTGTAGACATGCATGAAATGAAATGGAGTAATTGTAGACTTGAATGAAATGAAAAGGAGTAATTGGAGACTTAAAATGAAATGAAATGGAGTAATTGTAGACATGCATGAAATGAAATGGAGTAATTGTAGACATGCATGAATGAAATGGAGTAATTGTAGACTTGAATGATATGAAATGGAGTAATTGTAGACTTGAATGAAATTAAATGAAATAGAGTAATTGTAGACATGCATGAAAATAAATGGAGTAATTGTAGACTTAAATGAAATGAAATGAAATGGAGTAATTGTAGACTTGAATGGAATGAAAATGAAATGAAATGGAGTAATTGTAGACTTGAATGAAATGAAATGGAGTAATTGTAGACTTGAATGGAATGGAAATGAAATGAAATGGAGGAATTGTAGACTTGAATGGAATGAAAATGAAATGAAATGGAGTAATTGTAGACTTGAATGAAATTAAATGAAATAGAGTAATTGTAGACATGCATGAAAATAAATGGAGTAATTGTAGACTTGAATGGAATGAAAATGAAAATAAATGGAGTAATTGTAGACTTGAAGGAATGAAAATGAAATGAAATGGAGTAATTGTAGACTTGAATGAAATGAAATGGAGTAATTGTAGACTTGAATGGAATGGAAATGAAATGAAATGGAGGAATTGTAGACTTGAATGAAATGAAATTAAAAGTGTAATTGTAGACTTGAATGAAATGAAATTAAAAGTGTAATTGTAGACTTGAATGAAATGAAAAGGAGTAATGATAGACTTGGGCTAGAAATTATCTTGTGTATTTCTGAAAAATTTGAAAACTCATTTTTTATTTATTTGAATGCATACTCTTGATGTTATGATATTATATATTAATCACCCAATTGAGGTACTGAAGTTAAATCTGTTATTAGCATCAACAAAATGAAGTTACAAAGCCCTTCATTAAAAGTGATAAACATGTTCTAAGTAGCAATGTGGGATGGTTTAATGATTCATATTTTCATGATCGTTTTCATGCAGGGATGGTGGTACAATATATTTTAATTAAAGCAAGGAGGTTCCCCTACTATGCATAATTGTTGTGTGATATCAGACTGTAAGATTATTAACAAAAAAAAATAGTTTGATGCACGTAAGACAAGAAGCCTTATTGATGTGACTATGGATACAATATATTAAATTTTGAAAAAGAATTTCTTCAAAAAAATATGGTTTGTTTATATATTTTAGAAGAAAATGACATACGTCATTAATTTCCCGCATGAAAATCAAAAATACTGAATATAAGCCGTGGGTCAAAAATATATCGAAAAGTCAGTTTTGCTCTTCATGCACATCTTCGATAACTTTAGAATCTTGAATATTGAGTTCAATTCTCTTCTGTTTTGACTTGAGTGTTTAAAATAGGTTTTGACATGGTGTTTAGAAGATATAGAGAATGGTGAGATGTGATCCATCTGTTGTTGAAATATATGTCTTTACCAGGCAGTTTACATTCTAAACAATTTGTATTTTACCCTCCTTATCTCATTATCTATTCTTAACAATGATACACAATACACAAATTTAATTTAAACAGAATACTTTAGATTGGACTACCAGAAATTAAGGGTGTAATATTTTTGGATTTCATACCATTAGAGGGGTGTGAATCTGAAACCTATATATCAAAATAAGAGTGATGAGAAAAATTCTGAGTATATCTTTTAACATTCAAGTGATTTGGATTGTTTACTACCACACCAATTCTCTCTTCCAAGTACCCAGAGATTTAATAAAATAAACAGGCAATGTTATAATTATATCAGTTAAAATAGGATAAGTTTAGTCTAGATTCTAGGTGTTATAAAGAAATAGTTGTTAGAGATTGAAACCATATGAAAGCAATGATCATCTAGAGAGTTGAATGTCAGTAGGGTGGGAAGTCGGAAAACGCTTTTGAAACCACTGGGTTGGCCATAATCCCATCAGACCTAAATATGACATAATTACAAATGAAAAGCTTCAATATGTAATGTAATAGACTGTAAATGATTTTTTCCTCCTTTTTGTATGCAGTAGTCTAGTTTTGTTAGATGGTGATGAGAACATTGAAAATTGCTTACTGTGTCTTTTAAGCCACCCTCATGGGTTGGGATGTTACCTGTGGATTTGTCACCCCATTTCTCCTGGGATGCAGGTTGTTTAGATGAGACAGTAAATAGAGGGCCAGTGTGCTACAGTAGTAGCGATAGTAGGCTAATTCTGCAGATCTATCAAATTTTCCCTAATTGCTCTGAACTGTTTGTGTCCCACATTGCAGTTTGAATTGAAAGGCTCGGAAATATTAAATTGACGGAAACTGGGTGATACAGCTATTGATTATCACCAAATTTGAAACCTATTGAACTTTTGATATTTTCAAAAAGGTTGTGATAGATTGTCTAAGAATTCAAAAGCTTTTCTAATTTCATCCCCTAAAGAATGAGGTTAAATTGTTGTTTTTCTCATCTGCTATCTGTCAGCATTTCAGACTCTTGTTTGACTCTTCTTCTTTTGTGTAAATTAATATTATTATGAATGGCCTTTGCCCCACTATGAATATTTCCACCCAAAAAATGAAATGAAGACATATTGAAAACAAAGATTTCAAGTATGCTTTCATTGATTCTAACGGAAGAGAACTTAATGTTTTCAGTAATATTTCTTTTGGCATGTTTACAGATGCACTTTAATAACACTGTGGTAAATCTAATGTAGATATCAGTTAATAATAAATCAGGTTATTGATATTGTTGGATATGGTCTGTTTTCTAATCTAATGATTAGTGTTTGTTTCTGTTTTTTTTTGCAATGTTTACCTGTTAATAACAAGCTTTAAAGGGACATTGTAGACAAGATTTTTTCGAGGCATTTTATGTGTACTATGAATAGCTTTATCATTTAACATCTTCGAAGAATTATTACATCTCTATTGCAAAAAGTTGAAAACTACTAAAATTTTGAACAGATGGAATAGGTCTGGACCTTCTAGACAGATATACAGCATGGCCTAGAAAACATCTTTTGAATCATAGCATGGTCATTGAGCATGGCCTTTCTTGCTCTCTACCCTGTCCAATCTTTCCTGTTGTCAAATAATATTTCTTTGGCCTAAATCCCTTTAAGTGCCAACTAAATTGACATGATATCACAGTCTTACTTGTTCTATGTTGTCAAGAGCAATTTGTCTTTTATAGATTTGTACTCGGTTGATACATGTATTTAGGGTGTTAATGAGAAAATGCCCTCATTGACTGTTGTAAACTGGACATGAATGGAATGAAGGTGTAGTGGTATAGATATTGTTGATATATATATGATTAACCTATATCAAACAAATATTTTTCACATGTGAATGTATATACCATAGTTTATGTTGTTAGCAGATTTATTGATATTAACAGCTCTCTAGTGATATGCCTTACTCTATTTTTATATTGAACTCTGATTTAATATCCATACACCTGTTCTGGTTATTATTAAGCAGCCAATATCAATTACCCAAGAGAAAGAAAGGATATATACCTGTACACTCTAGAATTTTAACCTCTTTCAGGACATTAAAAACTGATTAAAATTGCCTAAGATAAAAACACACAAAAAAAAACAATCTAGAATTGCATTTTATTGGAAGTTTTATCTGACTGCCATCTGCTCTGTGGTCATATGGTAGGCCTATCCTTTCCTAAATAAATATGTTGATTAGTTGGCTGAATTAGTTATTAAATCTAAAAAAACAACAGAAAACATTATCTTAGTACCAAATTTCCTTTAAACCAGTTATGATAATCATATAATTTTAGATGCATGCCTTCTGGGATATCTGATCTGTCAGCTTGCTGTCAATGGCAAAACATCTTTGGATGTCATTTTCCAGTAGTTCTACTATTCTGCACTTAAGTTAACATTTTCACATCTTTTCAACCAAGACTGTTAAAAACCAGGTATATCTTTCTGGCACATTACTGATTTCCTCTCAGCTTTGTTTTTACTTCCAAGTTGAATCAATCAGTTATTCTAGGATAAAATATCAAGATTCTGTTTTATAGAGTTCAGAATATACATTCCTGTTTCAATATTTATCTAGATTGAGCCAAAATCCATATTGTTGCTTTTCTACTTTTGTTATTTCATTTTGGCCAATTTTGCATTTCTCAATTTCTTAGATGCAAACAATACTCTTGGATAGAAATCACTATGTTATGTATAAGAGTATGAATGAGACAAATATCAAGTTTTGCCAACAATTGTTTTTCCATGAACCATGAAGAACAACTAAGATCAACTGATAACTGTTATATGCTAACCATTTCTGACATGTGTAAATTCTTTATGCTATAATATGATATGAGCAATATAATTAGTTTTATTTGATGATATTCACCTGCTATCAACAGCCCATATCACTTATTATTTCTAGCAAATTGAAACCAAAGTTATATTATTTTAAAATGTTCTTAGATCTTGAAACATATTCAATTTCAGTTTTCAAGGTGAAAGAGTTCCATACACTTACATTTTTATTAATTTGAGTTTTTGGTGTTTTTTTTTCATAACAATTAAGAAACTCAAATTTCATGAAGCTTAAATATATTACTGAAAATCTAAGGAGTTCATTGTTCATGTTTTAAGAATTCTGTTTGGCTTTCAGGAATCCTGAAATTTTTGACACAAAGAAACAAAAGAAACAAAGATGCTTGCATTAAGTATAATACTCAGCTACGAATGCCATTAAATTAATCAGAATTTAATAATTTCCGTAACTCTAAAGAACATTTTCTTGTCATTGTAAAACTTCTGTTAAGAACTATGGTATTATCTTCCTTGAATTGAAGACTCGGTACATAATTACCACATATACATTAATCCAACATGAAACTCTGAGTCACTAAAGATGCTTTAAAGTTCAAATTATATTTTTGTATTTGATTGAAGTTAATTGAATATTTGGCTGTTGAAATACAGCCTCCAGTAATTTCTGTGTGAATAAGTACATTGTAAACAGCATTTGAAGGTATAAAATATCATTAAATAATGATTGTTTATTTTTCAGACGGCTAGATTCCAATGCCCTGGTATGTGATTGTGGTATTATGTGGTTAGCCAAAATGTTAAAAGAAAAAACTGGTTTCACCCAGGCTGCAGCCACCTGTGAATTTCCGGCTAATTTACAAGGCCGTTCTTTAATGAGTGTTGCCGAGGATGATTTTCATTGCAGTAAGTTGATTTTTAGGTGCACATTAGAATTTACAATTTTATTAGGGTACACAATCATTAAAATTATTAATTTACATAACCTTACATGCATTAATAATATATATAGTACCCTCTGGTTCACAGGGTTTGTTGAATTTATTAAGTCATATAAATATTTGCTTTACTGTATTCAGCTTATTTCAGCTATCTGGATTACTCTTCACAATTAAAATCTGATTTCCAGTTCTGCTTCAATTCAACAAAAAAGTACTGTAAAAGTTTAAAGTATTGTCACTTAAAGGACATTGGTATCAATGACATCATAAAAACTCTAATAACAATCTCAAAGTGATCTTTACTTTTATAGTACTCTGTTGAATTGCAGAGGAACTTGAAGTCTGTTCTTAATTTTGAAATTTTGATTGATAGCTGTGAGTTTCATAGATCTTATTCATACCTCAATCCTTTTAGACAAATCAAATTCTAGGGTTACGCATATTATCTATAATCTATTGAAAAGATGGCAACGTCAATTAAAGTAATTAGCTTATGTCATTGTTACGTCACTAAACACAACAGAAAGAATTTGGGCTTGAAACTAGTGTTTTTCAGAAATGTGAGATGGAAAACATCATTTCAAATTATCATGAAGTAGCTAAATCAATTCCAAATTTTAATGATATGTAATATGATAAGGTTTGAGTGATTGGAGATGGTGGCGGTAAAGATGTCAAGGTGGTGATATCACTGCAGTAACACAACATCCCTCCTTTTTTATTTATCGCCCTATGTGCCTTGTTTTGGATTCATTATGACTGATGCATGAATAAGTAATTTGACGTAGGCCTTCTTCAATTCTATAAAAAGTACTGTGGAAGTTTTGACTATTGTCATTTACAGGACATAAGAAAACATTCATTTGTCAGATTTTAGCCATATTGTGGCCTATGTTTAAAAGATTGGATATTTTGACTTTTTGTGTCATGCTTGAGGGTAATAAAATCAGTAATTGTCTTATAGTCTTTAATATGGCTTTCAATTTTGTTTACCAATTCTTCCCATCATTTAACATCTGAGACTATTATCAATAAGTTTAAGGGAAAATACATGTTGATATATTATTACAATAATAAAACAAAAAACAAAATACCTGCCTTAATAACCTATTCTCTATGTATATTGAAGACTATAACCAAATTGATTGTAATAATTCATTATAAGTGGACTGTGGTTAATAAATCTAAATTGATACCAGAATATTTCACAGCAATTCGTGATCATAGGAAGTAATTTGTATTTTGTTGAGTGTCAATAAATGGATGATAAGGATCAAATTAGGTTTTCTTTAATATATAGCTTCTTGGAATTGTCTTCTTTTGCTAACAGTGTTTGGTTGAAAAGAGATTATTTAGCAGAATTAATAAATAAATTATGATTCTAAAATGCTTTTCTTATTAATGATTAGTGTTTTGATAATCGAAGGCAAGATTTTTCAGTTATTTTCAGAGTTATTTTAAAAGGTAGTGATCATCATCTAATGTTGATGTCTGCAACAAGACTTATAATTACCATAAGATATTCTTAGCTGTACTTCCTTTGAACTTTTTGACCTTTGCTCCAGACATTTTTAATCTTCAGAAGTTGATAACAGGTTGCTTGTCATAATAAATTGAGAGTAATCTTTTCTACTGGTAAATTTATGCAACATGTTTTCTTATTAGAGGTAAATGTTTAAATTAATGAGTATTTGTAGGTGTATACCACCATTGATATTTATTTTGTGAAGTGGAATATTAGATAGTACTGACAGTTTAGGACTGACATTGTGTTGATGAATATATAGTTCTCTCCATATTTCTTTCAAATAGATTTCACACATTTATTTTATGAATACACAGGTAGTAATTGTCACAGAGGAAATGAAAGGGTGGATTTTTTTTTTGTTTGAAAGAGGGTGGAGACAAGGGTGGACACTATGGCTTTTTGTTTTGATTCAATGATTTAATGAATATTTCCCTCTGCTCTTTTGACACTTTGAAATCAGTTAACACCTTCTTGAGTTTAACCCTCGCTCTCACTTTAACATAAACAATTTGGTACTTATTACAGCTGTTGGCCTTTATTATATCAAAAAAATATCAGAAGTTACGTTCGACTATTTTCTATCACATGGTAAAGATTTCAGGTGATTTAACAAAGAAAACGTTGAGTGAAAAATGTGGTCTCCACATTACAAATTGTTAAAAGATTTTGATGTTAACTTTGATTGTGTTGAAATGAAAGATATAAAGTCTAGACAGATAATATTATCATAGGTGTATATCTCTTACAGATATAAACTCTCACCATTTCTTATCTCCCCTTTCTATTACTTTCAATTAGAATCTACATTCTCTACAGGTGTCATAGGATTAAAAGCTAAAAATTAAGATTACTGCCAAGATATCTCTTACAGATTTCAATCTGATTTAAAAGGATGTGCAATTTAAACAAATTTTATTTTATATAACTTGCTGTATAAATGAATGATAGATACTTGATTCAATCACATACCATATCTCATGGACAAAATCTATGCAAAAGTATTAGAGAGTAATAATAAAGTGTCATACAATTGAATTGAGATACAATCGAACTAAAAAGTTGATTTAAAAAATTACAATGGTGAACATTTTAGTATTTTAAGATAGTACTATTGACATTATTTTAATCACATCCAAAGTCAATTCACAAATTAAAAGCTGTAAAGCTTACTAAATTGCTCTGATAACATGAATTTAATAGAGCCCATTAACCTCCCTTGATAATCTGAAAAAAAATTACAAAGTAGTTGCAGGAAGAGTAAGCACTTTCTCCTTCATGTATGGCATATCAGAGATAAAAATCATTGAATATTTTCATTCTTTGTTAAATGTTGGACCAACACAAATAAAAGTAAACTATAAAATTTGATGTAAGACTAAATAGCTGTATGTAGAAAGTGATTTATATCAGTTTTGAAATGAGATATTTTCATGTCTGCCTAGAAAACAGTAATAAGATAGATATCAAAACATCATGTAGTCAGTTTAATACTGGTTTTTTGGCTTGACTTCTGTTGCCCTGTAGTTTAAATTCACATTTTGACACTTGTATCTTTATTGTTTAGATATGTTTAGAAGTATATCAATCTGTATCTTTTATATTTCTAATATACGCCAAAATACAATCTTCTACTCAAACTTGTAACAGGGGCTCATATTCAAATGTATATTTTTGGTTTGGGGATGTCTGTTTTTGATTAACTGAGAGCAATTTTGAGACAAGCAGAAATTTACTGTTATACCAGACATGTATGTCAACAATGCATGGGGTTTGGGAGGAATTATAATAAAGAAAACTTCCTTTATAAGATTAAACTAAAAAAAATACCAATGTTACAACCATAATTTTTCCATCAGATGCCTGAAGACATATTGATACGGAAGGCTTCTATGCCTTGACAAATGCTGTATTTATTAAAACTGTAAGATTTATGTTGTTTTAGAGGGTCCACATTTTACAATGGAACCAAGAGATGTTGATGTTACATTTGGTAATACAGCATATTTCACATGTAGAGCAGAAGGTTCACCTGATCCACAAATTGTTTGGCTTCACAATGAGTAAGTATGATACCAGTCTTTAGTTTTTTTGTATCATTTGAAATAAAAAGTTTGATGTTCAAAATTTGTGACCTGTTGTAGTTTTCTTTATGGCAAAAAGATAAATTGTTTTCTTCTGCAACATTTCCTTTTCAGAACTTTTATGTGGTATAAACTGGTAGCCTTATGATTTTGTCAAAGCTATTCATAAGATTTTTAAAATAAAATTATCTGCTCTTCATATATAATAAACCGTTTTTTTCATTATTTTAATTTGTAGGTCTTTCAATGGTCAGAACTATAATGATGCTCTTCATTTAGGGAAAGAACTCTTTGATCTGTTTTTTAAGTATTTTAATATGATTTTCAGAAATGAAATAGATGTTAATCACAATGGTAGATATAGTATGTTAAAAGATGGAACATTGATGATCCAGGATACTCAAGGATCTGATCAGGGAGTCTATGAGTGTGTAGCAAGAAATATCGCAGGAGAAGCACGAGCTAATAAAGTTGAACTTAGGTATTTTGGAGAGCCTGGTAAGCTCTATATGATAAAACAAGTTGGTTTAATAATCATCTTACTTACTTAGACTAGTTTTTTGTTTGATGTCTACTGTTTTTCATATTAAGCATTGCTTGACATTGACCATCTTCATCAGCCTATGGACTAAAAGATGCATCACATCTTTGTTTGACTTGGTTTCACACAACATTTTATTGTTTTCTTTCATCTTTTGTTGTTAAGTTTAATACTTTGGGTGGGCCAAAGTATGATTTCTAATTTACAAATCGCCTCATGGGTATAAATTCGAAGGGACCATTACTTCTGATTGTTGTAAGAATTTTTGAAATATATCATCCATAAGAATAATAATTTTTGAATAGAACAGCATATTTGTTCATACAGAAACATATGCAAAATATTATATTATAAACAGGGCATTTGGAGCTCTAAAACCCTTCAAAAACAGTGTGTAGAATCTGTACTAAGGAATACTGACTGTTAACTCAAAGACCTTATATAAACACGCAACAATGAGGTTTCCATTATTAAACTTATTCTATTTCTAGACTTATTCATTGTGTAGATTTTGAGTTTTTTTATCAGTTAAATAATATAAAATGTCATAGAAAGGTTAGGAGTATTTAGAATGAAAGAAATAATGTTTATTTTGAAAACTTACACTACACAATATGACATCAAAAACTGATTATAATCTTGTACCCATTATTAAAACCTTATTCTCCATTTATCATAGAATAACAGTACTGATTACTGGATGATAATCATTGTTAAAAAAACAAGTTTTATATTCTAAACAATCTGTCAAAAAAGCAGCTTGCAATATTTGCTTATTGAAATGTTTAATGATTATTTTTTTTTAAAAATATGATAAAGTCAAAATTTGTCAAAAATTGCCACACCACGATGAAAATAAAAAATAAAAATAGGAGATGTTGGCAACTTTCGATGAAAATTGCATGGATTTCCAGATGATATTTTATTTGACTGTAAGTAACACATAGCTAGTACGGAAATTCTAAGAATGATAGAATGCTCACTATTCTGAAACACTTGATGCCATTCTGCAACTGGGTTTTGAATATTGCACACATCTTTCTTTGACTCCAGTAAGTAGTGAAATTAAAGGATATACAAAATTATCTTTATACTGTGTATGTTCATTGTTAAATACATTAATCACAAATGTGTTAGCCAATTGAATTGTGTATATAAAAATAAATGAGTGGTGCTAGTTATGAAGATAATATTTGTACAATAAGAGTATTTTACACTGATATGATAACAGTTTTTCTAGATCAATATTGATTTAATCAAATATCTTACTATTAAAACATTTCATTAATATTATAATATAAAAATTACAGGAGGTTTTATAAATATAACACATGTATTACACAACAAACATTCCTTATATTTCAATGACATTATCAAAATTTTCAAATATTTTTTAAACATATTTATAACTAATCATCATTAAAATGGAATTTTATCTTACACAGAAATTGTTTACATTTGCGTCATGAAATGTTTTCTTGCTCCCCCCACTTGCATTCCACTTAAAATCGTTCAAAAAATTTAAAATGCAATATTTCAAATGATATATTTACTATGTGATAGATTCTACAGCTGATGTTTGCTCTATTTACCAGTCAAATCTGAATGAATTTAAAAATTTCTCAATATTATGAAACTTTTTTTTTGGAATTTTCATGATTTTTTTATTAATTCATTCAAATTTCTTTCAAACTACAGTGGATACTTCTAAATGTAATTGAGATCTATCAGCTGGCTTCTAGCAGCTGGTAAAAAGGGAGACATTTTGATTACTATAAACTAAGCTGAAATTGAGCATTATAACCTGGTAAAGCACATATTAGAAAATATACAATACATTGAAATTGAGCTCTATCATTTGGTAAAAGATATCTGAAATTGAGACAACTAAAAGCTGAAATTGATTGCGATTATTTGGTTCAGCACATATTTGGTCAACTATACAAATAAACTGCTGATATTTAGCTTTGTTATGTTAGCTAGTAAAGGAGATATTTAAATATTACATTTGCATGGAACAGAAAAGCAAAACACTTCAATTTATCTGAAACTAGTCTTGTGCAGTTATAAATGATGAATTAATTTCCTATGTAATTGAGGGTCATGAAAATAAGTCAAGTTGAAATTGACATAATTATTTTGAATGGTCTTTGCAAATTCTTGACCTACAGCAAAACTATTCCCCTCTTCCTCAGAAACACATGTTAACACTTGATAAAAACTAGGATGTGAACACATGAGCTTACATTAACCTTTTCTATGAGTAACACTATTCTCATTTCAGGCTTATCAACTGTTCTAGACTGGATACCGATAAGACTAATTCCATTACTTATTACCTCACAGTCATTAGTGTTTTGAAATTTTATTCTTTACTGCTACTATCAATTTTGTCTGTGGTCTGTAGAAATTTTCTCTCTGGCAATTGAAGTCTGCTTAGAGATTCAATATGTCAAAGGTCACATTTGATATCTGAACTTGCTTATATATTTTGTTCTATATATTTTGACAGTGACTGAAACAATTTAGGGAAGGAAAATGAAATTTCAATTCTAGTTGGATTTTATAAAGTTATTTCATATTGAATTGACGTATACCTCAGTACCTCAGTGTGTTTGTCATTTATATAAGCTCATTATGGTTGAATAATTACTAATGCATTTTAAAGATATAATAACATGAGCACACTTTGATTTTAAGTGCATGAGAACAGCACCATAAACCACGATAAATTAAAATTAAACTATATAATTATCTAAACACTAAAAAACTTTCAATGCAATTTGAATTAATGCAATTGATTATTAGATTGGATAAATTTTGTTGTGTGGGGTCTTTTGAATTTAATTCAAAGTAATATGTACCAAGGGTGTTGCTGTGTCGAAAAATTGAATGTATCAAATTATATGCCTAAAGCTTGATATATAGAAACTGAACTCAGAAGCCCTTCGTTAATGTAATATGTCAAAGGTCAATCTCAGGTTACTGTACAACATAGATTATTTAAGGCTGGTTCACTCTGACATTTCTCTTCTAAACTATCTCTCATCAACACAAATAGAAATCTTATCTTGCTCTATCTTTACACCTGATCAATTCGAGGTTGTGGTTTCATCCTTGAGGCTAATAATGCTTGAAACATTCATGATACTCTAAGAACAACAGGGTTGAATACTGAGACACTTGGATCTCCCAAATCATGAAAAATATTCTAGAGATGAAAATGCCAAATGATATTTTGGTTTGATTCCTGTGAGAAACGTCATTGTAAATGATACTTTTAGAACATCAAAGTTGATTTTTAGATGCTTGGATCTCCTACTAGAAATATGAAAGATGAAATGGCACAAATTTAATCTGGGGTCAGAAAATACATCTTCTTCCAAAAGTGAAATCCAATATCAATGATTTTTTATTTAAGAATTACAATGATAGCTACTGACATTAATACTATTTCCAAATCAGATTTCATACCTAAACCATCAAATAGACTTTTTCAGAAAAATTTGACTTTGAATTTTGCTTTATAAATATGGATATCATCATTTGACCTTGTACTGATAGAACATGATATATTGTATGCATTTCCTGAATCAAGTTTAAATAAATTAAATGAAATCAAATGTTTCAGAATTTCATTGTAGTTTGTTACATTAACAAATTATTGTTCTATGTTTTCAGAGCGACCAAGATTTACTGTAGAACCACGAGATCGAACTGTAGGAACTGGAGAATCTGTGACGTTTTTATGTGAAGCATCTGGTAATCCCAAACCTGATATTAGTTGGAGTAAAAATGGTTTAGTTTTACCACCTAATCCTAGGTTCACATTACAACCTAGTGGTGCATTAAACATTATAGATATCAATGAAGTTGATGCAGGAGTATATAGTTGTTCAGCTGCTAACAGTATACAGACTATCAGTACTCTTGCTAGACTCATTATACAAGGTAATTACTTGTTTTTAGTATTTGTTTTCAAAATAATGGTCAGAATATACCCGTTACTAACACCAAGGATGCCTATAAATCATCATATAATTAGTTGTTAATTTTTACATGGATATGGATACTGCTATCTGTCAGATTTCAAGAGAAAAAAAGCCTGCTTTCAACATCATATAGTTGTCAGTTATTTTAATGGTATTTGTTTATATTCCTAGGTTGAATCAAAATTTCAATGTTTCTAGATTCATGCATCCTCAACAACATAATTTACAATAGCCCAAAACATAGATCTTGTCAAAAAACACATTTTGTTGCTCACCAGAATTATATTTGTTAGTGTAATGTAATGTGACTTAAATACAGACTGTAAAGGTACCTTGTAAATGTCTGCAAAAAGTGGTGTGCCAGATCCCTGGAATAAAATAAAATGATAATGAATTTTTCATATGTCTAATAACTATTAGATTCCAAATTTTCTCATCAGTGATTTCTTGTCACCTTGAAGATGATTTTCTGTCATATGCGTTATTCAATAAGTATTTATAATTTCTCTAACTGCTAATCAATTTAACATACCTTAATATAAAGTGCACTTTGAAAATATCTGGTTATTGAATTTGTTATTTGTTTTAACGTCTGCTTCAGATTTCAATGCCAGACTTATTGTCAAGTTGGCAGAAAATCTCAGAAACATACAGTAATTAATCATTAGTGAGAATTCAAGAGAAATACGTGTTAAACAGATAACTAACTATTTATACTGTTATCATTACAGTGTTTCACTTCATTAATTATTCTCCAGACTCTCTAACTTTCATAAACAAGTCTATTTGTTTTTGTACTATCCTTTTTTTTTGTTCTCCTGAATTTTCAATATTTAGATAGAAACTCAGAAATTTGGTAGTGGCCGATTTATTGCATGCACTGGTCAAGGTCATAAGAAGTGAACATAGATTATCACTTATTATCACACAAGAATTTAAAAACAAAATGTATTCTGATTATACTGAGATAAAATCTGCATGAATTTTCACAAAATACCATACATTGAGACATTGAGGTGTCATGTTCTTATATAAATTTTAGATCTGTTTTTGTTTATTATTTTATGAGGGAGTTTCTGTTATAAACAGCACCATACCACTTTTTCTTATCTTAAGTTTGATTTTTGAACGGAATGAGATGAATGGAATTCTTATAGATTGAAATTTAAACTGTTCAAATATTTCCAAATATTTTGATTTGATTTTTGACAAATATTAAAAAAAAGTATTTTGAGCATGTATTTGAAAGAGTATGAATCCCAGAACAAACAAACCTGCTTCATACTAACAAAATGATGTTAAGAGTTATTTCCAATGTTTTCAGTATCACCAGAAGTTGTAGAAGCACCTCAAGCACAGACAGTAGATGGTGGTGAAACAGTCAGATTTACTTGTGTTGTATCTGGTGATCCCTCTCCTATTATAACTTGGACAAAAGACAGTAGGTACATTTTATTACAGAGTCATTCTCAGTAAATGTTTAAAAAATATTGTCATTGGATTGAAATGACTGACAATTTTAGAATTGAAGTGGAGGAAGACAGTATAGAATTGCATAAAATTTGACGTAAAATAAAGTTTTTCTGTTGTAAGAACCATCATTTTGTACTTGGAGTTAAATGTTACAAGAGCATGCTCAATATGCTTTAATTTTAGATCGACCATTACCCAACAACGGTAGATATGAGATAGTAAATAGAGGTGAATTATTAAGAATCTATAGAACAACTATTGAAGACCAGGGTATTTATACATGTAAAACTGAGAATGCTGCAGGAGAAGTCATTGCTTCAGCTAGATTAACTATACGAGCTAGTGGTATGTAGTTTATATTTTTGTATCAGTTTGGTTGTATCAGGGCCAATGTGAAAATCGTTTTATAGTGTCTGCATCAATTGGTGTTTTCACTGGGAGAAAAATGCTTTCACTTTACTTGAAGGATCAGCTTTGTTATTCCTTTTTTATCTTCAATCTACAATCGTCTCATCTACAATTTTTCTTCCTCATTTTTGATCATTTTGGATAGGTATACAATAGTTTTCTCATTGTAGGTCCATAGATTTTAGATTCAACTAAACCCTGCTTGTTAAATTTGTAACACAGTGAAAATTTTATTTCAGCTGCACCAGCTTTCAGTGAAAGAATTCGCAACATAGATACTAATACTGGAATTGACTTGACATTAGATTGTCATGCCGAGGGTGATCCCAGACCTACTTATAAATGGAATAGAGAAGGTTTACATCTAATTTCGGATGCTAAATTTATTGTTAGTGGAGGACAGTTGATAATCAAGAATATCATATTGGGTGATACAGGAAGATATGATTGTATTGCTGAAAATTCTGCTGGTAGAGCTACAATGTCTATTAATCTTCTTGTACATGGTATGTATAACCTCCTTTTCTTGTTAAGATTAAGTTGATAGATATATTGAATTAATAGCAACATGTCTGCATTTTTGTCTCTTTTGGTGGCTCTATTTCAGTGATCTTTCTTCAGCATTGCTTAATGTCCAGTATTATGTGGAGTATTCAAGTATCAATTTATGGATATCTGTTGAATATAATAGTTCTGTAAGAGACTCAGAGACGCAAAGAAAGAATGATCATGGACTACTGATTTCTATATTTATAGTTGATGAAAGAGAAAACAGACCAATAGATCGAACTAGAGACAGATTAATCAATAGACCAAACTCAGCCAGTATTCAACCAACTAACTTCCGTCCATATATACCACCTGGTGGTAGAGAACGTCAAGACGATAGACTTACGCGATATTATCAACGTCAACGTCTCAATCAAGTTCCCAGATTCACACACATACGATCAGGTCACCATGACAACAGACTTACACCTCCAGAAATAGAGAGGGCCTTACATCAAGCTACAAACAGAGTGAATGCTGGGATTAATAGTACATTGATGTCATTGTTTCAATCGAACCAACAACATTCTGTTCAAGATCTATTATCAATATTCCGTTATCCAGCTCCTGAAGCTCTAGAACTGGCCAGAGCTGAAGAAATATTTGAGCAGACACTAGAAATTTTACACATGCATATTAATCAAGGTCACATGTATAATTTATCTTCAAATGGTAGGTTAAGAGATCATTTGATTTTTATGTCTTATGTTAACATTAACAATTTGAACTCTTGAAAAACGATGTCGCGTTGGATGTTTTGAAAGCTAAACCTTTCTGTAACAGGTACTTGAGGTACAGAATATTGTGGATAGTGAAATTAAGTCCAAACCGTAAAATAAACACAACAACAACATTGAATTAACATAGTATGTCAATTGAAAGTATTGATTTTAATATTAGAGAATCAACTTGATTAAATAGAATATTTGATATTTCAGATGAAAGTTACAGAGAATTGGTATCTCCACCACATTTAGCTTTAATAGCTAATATGTCTGGTTGTAGTCGAAGACCGTTAGATACTGATTGTACTAATATATGTTTCCATCGAAAATATAGAACATTAAATGGTATCTGTAATAATTTTAAAAATCCAACATGGGGAGCATCAAATCAAGCCTTTACTCGTCTCTTACCACCAATTTATGAAAATGGATTTAATACACCAGTTGGTATGTATTATTTTATAAAAGCTATCTTATTGTTTGTTTGTTCATATCTTTTTTGATGTTCATTGATATTTTTTGTGTAAATTTCGATTAGATTCTGATGAGGTATTGATAGGTTTAGGCCTACATGACTTGTAATTTGTAATTTATAGTAAAGGGACCTCGGATATGTTTTAAGATTGATATTGCAATAGAATTACATACCACTTGTGTGAGCATTAGTTAATCAGCTCCCCCTGTATGTCGCATTGAAACATTGATTTTGATATGAATAAAAGATGACATCATCTATGTTATTGTGAAAGTAAACGTACAGACAAGCACTTGAAAGTCAAATCAAGGGATTCAACAAAATGAATGAAAAATTGTAATCTAGAGTCTTGTATTGCATACCATTGTTCAGCAGTTTTGATTGTGCTACATATTCTTTTTATTGAGATTCTAGAAAATATTTAATCAATGTTAGTTTGCCCAAGTTTTGTAAAGAAGTTTTCTTCACTTATATTATACCCATTTTAGGTTGGAATAGAGGTAAGATGTATAATGGAATTCACCTACCAAGTCCACGATTAATATCCTCCTTTATGATGTCCACTGATCATGTTACCATGGATGAAGAACACAGTCATATGTTGATGCAATGGGGACAATTTATAGATCATGATTTAGACTTGGCACCTCAGTCTATTAGTTTTGCTCGGTTTAGTGATGGACAAAGATGTAATGAAACTTGTGACAATGTCAGTCCTTGCTTTCCAATTAAGGTTCCAAATAGTGATCAGAGAATCAGGAATAATTGTCTTGGATTTACAAGAACAAGTGGTACTTGTAACACTGGCACCACATCCGTGTTCTTCAGTACTGTTGCTCCTCGGCAACAAATCAATGCTTTGACTGCTTTTATTGATGCTTCAAACGTGTATGGTAATGGTCCTGATGAAGCCAATTCTTTACGTGACTTAACAAATGAACGTGGCTTACTACGTGTTGGTCCAAGTTTGAATGGAAACAGGCTCTTACCTTTTGATGAAGATACATTGAATCATGTAGATTGTCAGTTGGATGCCACCAAACGTCATGTGCCATGTTTCAAAGCTGGGGACCATAGAGCAAATGAACATTTAGCCCTGACTGCCATGCACACATTATTTATGAGAGAACACAACCGTATTGCTACAGCTTTAGAAGAGATTAATCCACATTGGGATGGAAACAAACTGTATCATGAAACAAGAAAGATTTTAGGAGCTGTGTTGCAACATATTACCTATGACAACTGGTTACCTAAAATACTGGGTGAAAAGGGTATGGCTATGATGGGAGAATACAATGGATATGATCCAGAAACAAACCCTACTATAGCTAATGAATTTGCTACAGCTGCCATGCGTTTTGGACATTCTTTAGTGCAACCTGTGATATTTAGGCTTAATGAAACCTACGAACCTATCCCAGAGGGCAATCTTCCATTACATCGAGCTTTTTTTTCACCATATCGTATCTTAGAAGAAGGTGGAATTGACCCCTTACTTAGAGGACTTTATGGTGTGTCTGCCAAGAAACGTATGCCAGGAGAACTTCTTAATTCAGAATTAACAGAAAAACTGTTTTCATTGGCAAATTCTGTTGGTCAGGATCTGGCATCACTAAATATACAACGTGGTCGTGATCATGGATTACCATTTTATGTAGACTATAGAAAGTACTGTAATCTTTCAACTGTGAATAGCTTTGAAGATTTAATTTTTGACATACAAGATGCTGATACTTTAGAGAAGCTACGAGCTGTTTATTCACGCGTTGGTAAGTCTTTTGGCAATTATCTTCCTGCATATCTACAATTAATTATATTGATATTTGAAGATGTTACATATACATCAATAGGCCAATGACTCTGCTAGTGGACACAAATGTCTGGCTCCAACCTTTTGAGTACAAGTCCGTAAACCTGATTTGAGCTGAACCAAACTAAGAACCGGTGGGCAGGCCTTTTTCTGTAAGAAGTGAGCATTTTTACCACACAAAATACCTAAATTATTAAATGCTTCAGACTACAGTTAAGTATGTATTATTATTTTTTTTCAGAAAATATAGATTTATTTGTGGGTGGTATGAGTGAAACACCAATGCCTGGTGCTAAAATTGGTCCAACATTTTTGTGTATATTATCTGATCAGTTTAGACGTTTACGTAGTGGTGACAGGTAAGATAAGATATTCTAAATCGCATCACCTGACTTCTAATTAATACAGCTAGACAACAAACAGCTAGTATTCAAAAAATTTTCAAAAGTTTGTCCATACCATTCAATTAAAGACCAAGTAAAAAATGGGAGAAATTTGTTTAGCCTATCTGTTGCATAATTCAAATGTTTTTTTTCGTTTATAGATTCTGGTATGAAAACAGTGGGGTATTTAAAGCTGAACAGTTAAATGAAATAAAACAAAGCAGTCTAGCACGTGTTATCTGTGATAACAGTGATGCTATCAGATCATTACAACATGATATATTTTTATTTAAAACTCAAGAAGAAATGACATCATGTGAAAATATTCCAAAGATAGATTTAAGAATGTGGACTGATTGCTGTGAAGGTAGATATGATATGCAAAAATCTACAACCAAAATGCAAATCAAAAAATAGCTTAAATAGCTACTCTAGAGGGTAAAGCCCTGAACAGAAAATGGACAAAATATTGGTAAAAAAATACCATTTACTGTTACACTATAATCTATATGGGTCAATCTTATATTATCTGATAATAAGATTTTGAAATCCAATTTCATCTCTTGTATGATCATAATCTAATTTTTATCTCATTTTATTTCAGAATGTAGAAGAAACAACTTCCAGTCTTTCACACGTCATTTCAGAAATCCCAATCAATTCAGTTTCCCAGAAAACAACCCACATTCAAATTCCATTCACCAGAACCAGTTTGGTGGTACACGCCAATTTAGCAGTCCAAATCAATCTTTCAGAGATTCTTTTAGACAACAGACGTTGAATTCATTTCAAGGTGATGAACCTCCGACCACTGTGAACAATGAAATAAAAGAAGATATGTCAGCTCTCAGTGATAGATTAGAAGGTGTTGAATCGGTCATGGAACAGATGTCCAAAACTATTAAACATCTTAAAAGAAAGGTAAAATATTTTTCACTTTAACTTTGCTAAAATTTTTGAATAAAAAATAACTGTTTTTATGAACACTTCTATGTCTTACCATGCATTAGAATAACCTATGTAGAATAGGTAGATTTTATCACATTTTAGAAGTAAATGCACCTCATGGCAATCTCAATATATTATGTAACACATTGTTCACTTAATTGTAGAACTTAAAGCCTTTATGTAAAGTTTGAATTTGTCCATGAGCTATGTTTATGACTTAATGACCAAATCAAAATTATGAACTTTTGATTTTTTTTTCAAGGTGAGATATTTGCAGAAACAAGTGAAAGGTAAAAAAGATTTAACATGTACAGACCCTGATAATCAACGTAGAATTAATGGAGAGAAATGGAATATGGAAGGTTGTAAAATATGTCTTTGTAATGTAAGTGTTTCTATCAGAATATCATCATTCCTATATTCTACAATTTTCACCTTGTTTGCTAGCTCTGCTTATAAATCATAAACTATACAGTGCTCTGAGTATGTACCTTATCAGCTGGAGTTTTCAGCTGTCCATAATGTTTTCAGAATTTAAATCTTATATCTGACTCTGCTATAACTCAACATTAAACAATTAAAATGCAGTTGTGAAAGTTTTGTTTCATTTTTTTCTGAGGATAGTTCCATTTGCAATCTTCATAGCCTTTTTTTGAACCATGAACCATGAAAATAGTTTTAGACATAATTCTTCATTGATTGTTTTTTTTCAGAGAGGTAAAATTGTGTGTATGGAACAAACATGTCCTAAACTATCTTGTGAATCTCCTGTGAAAATAGAGGGACAATGTTGTCCAGTGTGTTCCTAATGAACTACCAGTTTTATTTTGTCCATAATAAAGTCATATATCAGGGATAAATGCTGCTACTGACCAGCTGATAGTGCCAAGTGTTTGAATGTTAGAATATAACAATTTAATGTTGGGGTGGATCTATCTACAATTCTACTGGAAACCCAACTCAACTTTGTGATGATGGTATTATTCTGTGTTTTTATTTACTTGTGATTTACTTAGATTGTATCAAACTGCCCTAGGATTCAGGCCCCATATTCTTGAAATGATCTTAGCTCTAATCCTAATGTCTTGACTACTAACACTGTTTTAGGACGTCCTAGCGCCAAGATCGTTTTCGAGAATACAGGTTCAGATCTTAAAATAGGAGGTAAAAATCAGAACCAGAATAGATATATAATGTCAAGAGATTTCATAGAGAATAAAATTGTCTGATTTCAAAGGATTAATTTTGGTTACAAAACATTGTGTTCTTTCATTCGCTAATTCTTTTTGAGAATTTTAAGTTACACAGCCTTTTGATTTGTTTGCCTAAGCTAAAATCAATGATAATTCTCAATGTGAATCAATAAAAAGGATCAGTATTTTAAACATTTAGTTTATAATCTTATTGTCTTACTGCCTGTAATGATATTTTTAAAGCTTGTATATAGTTTTCTGCTTTTTAAATGCAACAAGTTATGGATTTCGTAACAGCTATATTTATGTACATATTTTACATTATTTCCAATTTTATTACACAGTGTGTGATGCATAATATAATACTCCCTAAATCCACATTTATATCTTTACTATACAATTTTGTACTTGTAGTTTCTATTATATAGTATTAGTTGTTAATCATGTAATTTTATAACATAATTACAATGTTACATGTAATTTCAGTAAAAATGTTACAATGTTGAGTATATGATATGTAATTTTATAACATTTTTACATGTATGTAATTTTTCAACAATGTTACATGGCAGTAATGTTACAACAGTTTTACATGTGTATTATTTTACAACAATGATACATGTATGTTATTTTTATGTCAATCATAATTCTATTTTAGTAATTATGGATTGTTTTTAAGCTTTGCAGAAATTGTTTTTGTTTTTTTTTTTACACTGGTTTTAAATTGTTTCAAGATTTTCTAGGCCACCACATCTAAATTGTTATAATTTTTAACTACCAACAGTTTTATTTGTAAAAATCCTTACACTTTTATATGAATCCTTGAATGGTGCTACCTTTCTTTATTTTTAAGCTTTAATAAGTACAATTGGAATATCAGTGATAATAATATTTTTATGAAATCAATTAACTTGTTTTATTTTCTATATGCTATCTTTGAAGTGATCATAACCCAGTCAACATACACTGTTTTTATCCTTTTCCTAGCAGTCAGATTGAAGGCTTTTTCGGGCAACGAAGGAAATGATTCAACTGGCAAAATAGTCTGCAGTGGTTATTCTCAAGCCAATTACTTTCAAGACCTAGCCACCATCCCCTGAGCCCTTTAAAAAAAACCTTTCTATTTGAGCATTTAGTAGCCTACCCCTCTGAAAGATATACTAGGTAGATTACAACAAAGTATTAAATGCAGTCTAGTTATTGTAAGCATTGATAATAAACAAAGTACTAACGATCAGAACCGCAATATGAAACCCGAAATCAAAACAACATACTGGCAAAACATTGGTCACAGCTAATGAACTTTTCACATGCGGATGGATATCAATCATATTAAGTGAGGAAATACCGTATATTTCCGAATATAATGCGCACCCGTGTATAATGCGCACCCCTTCCTTTTCCCATTAAAATCGGGGAAAAATCCATTTACCCGTGTATAATGCGCACCCCTTGTTTACAAAAAATTTGAAGTCAGACTTGGCACATCACAGACACCATTATCATCCCGTATATTTGACACGATATCATCTATAATATAAACGCATTTGTTTGTACAATTGAATCGTTGGCCTATAGAGAATTGAGAAGTGATGTTGTTTTAAAAGGCTAAACAAATTGATAAATATAAAAACACACTTTCATTGAAGGTATCGCATTATTCAATTACGGTAGGTTAACTCAAACTCAAAGATTAACAGAGCTTAATGATATATATAGCAAGGGTTAGAATACATACGATCGTCCTCACATTCTTATTTGCTTTCTAAGTCCTAGCTCATATTTAATTCCTAAATGCATATTCCACGTATCACCAAAGTCATTTTTTCCCGTGACAATGAGTCTAAGTTGACAAGGTCACACACGGATGGATATGCGGATGGATATCAATCATATTAAGTGAGGAAATATCGGTATTTCACAATGTTTACACCCGTTGGTTTTGGCTGATATTGTCGTTAAGGAGTTATATTTTTGAAATGAACAACTTATCTCTTGTAGTATATCGATAGGCTATAAATTCATTACTCTGTTTCTAAGATTTAGGCCATTAAGTTGACCCTGTTCTCAAACTAGATGCTGAAATTGGGTTTTTTCAATCTCTGTAAATGCAACCAATCGTAGTAGTCGACAAAAAGGACAAAATGATTAAGATTTGTGTTGGTCTTAAATGTGTTGATCTTCTATTTTATCAATGATCACAATATACAATAATCTTGACCAAAACAGGCAGTTGCTTTCATATAATGTGCAATAATATAAGTGGATGTGGGAAGTGGGTATTGGCAATTCTCTATGTAAATTTATATTGCCAAATAGTTTTTTGTTTCTTGGTCTCGGACTCTCAGTACCATTTTGGAGTTGATATTTCAATTTATCTAAAAATAATTAGCAAAATGCCATTCTGTAAACATTGTGGTAGGACAATTAGCTTACTCATCAATCCTAGGCACGGGTATGGTGGTATGTACTTCTGGAGCATTAAAAATAATATGATTCTTGTATTTATAAGGTAGCATCGACGTTTGACGTGTTGACTGACGTACTGACGTGTGACGGAGAAACAATTGGTTTATTTTGTAAATATGAACAAGTGCAAGAAACCTGTGATGAGTAGCCTACGGACAAATCCTTTCTTAATTTACTCCCTATTACGAATTTTTAGATAATTACATTAAAAAATAAACAGATACTGTTAGTAACTTAGTAGCAACATTTTATCAAATTCGCGTTTCATGGAGTCGTGTTACGTAACGACCCTCATCAGGCCGTCTCGTTCGAAACCTTTAAGGTACGGAATGTCTCATTTGTAAAATCGCTTTGTAGTTTCGTAATTTTACATACAAAATTTAATGTTTTGGACAATTAGTTAAATCATTTTAAAGTTGTTATTCAAATATTACGACAAATCGTAGTAAATGTTGATTTCAAAGTAACAAAAAAAACCACACCAAAATACCACAGATTCGAAACCATGAGGTTATGTGAAGCTGATCAAATTAATGGGAGATAACCATGATCTTATATTTTAACCGGCACATTGAAATGTAAACAAAGTGTACATCACCAATTCTCGTCACCATCTTAGTCCATATTTTACAAAATATAAGAGTCATGCCACGAGTTCTACCATTCTTTGTTTCTAGAATATCCTGCTGAAATGAGGAAGAATTGAACAAGCGTAAACGACGACATAAGCTTGAGTCCTCTTTACGAAAATTTTAATCTCTTTTTAATGACTTTATTCTGGTCCAGCACTCCAGCAGCATTGAACTTCTTATATGAATTTGGAATTAGGAGCTGATCTGAAAGTTTTATAGAAGATAAATCCATTGATCCATTATTTCAAAGAGAAATACAGAAAGAATGGCATCGGCGGTAACTGTATTAAAATATTTATATTGACAATCACAAAGACCTGCCAGCTATTTACACTTCGTAACACAACTTTAGTGATTAGCCTTCTGTTCTCTTATGATGTTGAAAATAAATTGTTCAAAGGATATTGACTTATAATATATTGATATAAAGCTTATGCTTAGCATTTTTTCTATGCTGAAGTTTGGTCCTATCAGTCGTAGTTTCTTTCAAACCATGATGTTTCTCAAACAAAGATTTTTTTTCAGGCGTCTGGCAGTAGTAGTTCATCAACTCAAGAATATACAGTTCGCATTCCAAAGTAAGTACGGTACATTCATGTGAGAAAAATGTGATTTTGAGAACAGATTTGGAATCACTCTAATTGATATACCAAAATTTGTTAAATGAAATGAGAAATCTTTTACTATAAGCTTATCTTGTTCTTTCAGAGATAAACAAAAGAAGTTTAGTATGATGAAATTTGGTACCAGTGGTGATTTAGATTTTGCTAAATTAGGAAGTGTAAGTAACTCTTTGACCACATTATTTGAGCTCAGAGTTGTTTTATTTCTGCCATTTATGTCTTAAAGTCTAAATAAATATAACTGTTGATGACTTCCCTTACAGAAATTACATATGAAAATGCTCTTCTGTAAATTGATATTTTAAGATAATCATTTTCAGCAGACAGTATTTTCATCCAATAATAATTTAAGTGTTTTGAGTTTTTTCTGCAAATTTCAGACTACAGTTTCCATAGCTAGGGAAAATAACCTGAGAGAATTCAAGACAGCCAATGATATCGATCAAATGCCTAAATTTGGGGCTGGCAGTGAATTTGGCCGTGAACAGAAAGAAGAGGCCAGAAGAAAGAAATATGGTCGTATTGCAAGACGTTATAATGCTGAAGACCAACCATGGACAATGAAAATTGGCACTGATAAAAAGGCGAAAAGGTATGTTTATGAAATGAAATTATAGGTACAGTTTACAATGATATATCAACAGAAGAGATTTAATTTCAGGAAACAAAGTACTTTTCAATATGTTTCCCTTTTTTAACTGTTAGTTACAAAATGACGTTCAAATCCATAATTTAGAGCACAACAATGTAAAATGTTCAATAAATGCAAGCAAAGCAAACTAAATCTAAAACAACTAATTTTAGTTGTGATCTGAGGCTGTAGATATATATATATATATCAGGAAACTATTAAATAATTTCCCATTTGAACATATAAAATTAATTACTTGCTTGTCCATTTATTTTAAACATGAATTTATTTACTATATATATATTTGAAAGGTATAAAGGTGTAAGAGAGGGCACAATAACAGAAAACACATCTTATTATATATTCACACAATGTGCTGATGGTGCTTTTGAAGCTTATCCTGTAGATGAATGGTATAACTTTACACCTGTCATTAAATATAAATACCTCAATTCTGATGAAGCAGAGGAACATTTTAACAGGTAAGCCGTAATATTATTCTATAGATCTTATAGCAGACTGTAAGTGCAAAAAACATCTGAGTGTGTAATTAAATTAAGGAAGCTAGCAACTGTTTGTTATTTAATTGTAATTAGCATGCAGAGATGATGAATTACCGTATATGGTCTCAATTCTTTATCTAACTAACTATAAGTTATTTTGTGGATTATATTCTATTTTAGACGAGAGAAAACAGTAAATTATTGGAATATTATGGTTAAAAAACGAATGAAAACAGATGATGATGGCAGTGAAGAAAAGGAAGAAGAAAAGAAAGACTTAAAAAATATGAAAAAAACAAAGAAAGGATTTGTATGTTTACATTTATTTGCTTTTTTCTTACCAGTACTTAAAATGAAAATGTTTTAGTTGACTTCTTCTGTACATGGGCTAGGAGATATACTGGTGTATATTGAAGAAATGACCTGAATATTTTTTCATCGATAAACTGAAAAAAATGTTCAGGTCATTCGTATAATTAAATCAACTCGAATACGTGTTTAAATATTTATCTAAAATAGTAACAATTTAAGGCACTAAATTGACGCATAAATACATAACAACGTTAATGAACTGATGCTAACAATAGAGACGTCGTAGAGAACAGCCAATCAGCAATAAGTAGGTCACGTATTTATAGTCTACTGCTTGAAAGTTGATGGAGCGGCCACAATTAAAGTTCAATTATCGAAAGCCAAGGTTCGAAATAAGTTCATGATTTTGTTGATATTTGGAGAATGCACATTCGAGGGAATTTGGAAAATAACGTAAACATTCAGTGAAGTGTAGCTTTCGGCTCTGGTGACGTTCGAAGGAAAGACATCAACGCTGTGTAGTAATCAAACTCAATGATAAAAATAGTCCGTTAAGGGGCGGAGCTTATATTTACATTCCATTTACACAGATATAAACCGAATTCACGTGACCGCTGTTATCCAATCAAATTTTGTGATACCTTGTAAACGGAATCGTGATTTAATTATATATATATATGATCCATGTCCATCAGCCCACAAGTGCTTGTAAACAAGAAGGTACAGTTCTAGATAAGATTTTAGGGAAACTCAAAATCTTCCTCATTGTACATTGTATGGCTTCGTCTGTCCTCATTTGTCCAAATAGGTGATGAAAGTAGTATGTAATACTACAACAACAAAAGCATCAATTATTGTCAAAAATCATTACAAAAGTCTGCAAGAAAAGTATTCGTGTATACCAAGAGGCTTGTGACTGCCTATAAACAAAACAAGAACTTAAATAATCACGTAGTCCATGGCAAACTAAATCCTCTCCCCTTCGTCTGCTTTGGACCTAGGCCTGTGCTTTCTATAAGTTAAATTCTCATTTCACCTTAACTAACACTGTTTTTTTTTCACTTGAAGATGTTAACAGATCAAGATGAAGATTTGATGGAAGAGGAGGAAGAGGGTGATGATGAAGATGATGAGGAGGAAGAAGATGGTGAGGCAAAAAAACCAAAAAAGAAGAAAAATCAAAAGAAGGTGCCAGGTAAAAAGCGTAAGAATGCTAAGATTAATTCTGATGATGAAGCTGTAGAAGAGAGTGATGAAGGTGATTATGATGATAGAGAAGTAGATTATATGTCTGATTCTAGCAGGTAATTATCTTATATCAATTTTCAAAAACACTAATCATATGGTTTACAGCTCTTTGAAACAGGTCTGAAAATAAGGAGGATATCACAAGATATATATGATATGAATGTATTATATGATTCTACACCATAACTTGTTTGAGATATGATATATCAAGATAATTTTTCATGCTGTGTAAAACAGGCAATCAACAAGCTTCTGCAATACGAAATTACCATGGTCTTGATCAAGCACAATTTGTAGTGATTCTCTGGCAAAGGGTTAGTGCAGAGAACATACTCATTAAAGTTGAGCTGTTAAATCAGCTGTATTTGCCATACAATGATCAGCAGACCTGCCCAACATTCTGTTGTCCATTGTCCACACTTAGTGTAGATCAAAGACAATGGTTTTTGTTAATGACATGTTTTTTCTTCAGCAACCCTTCTGAAAAAGGGGATGAAGAAAAGGAAAAAGATAAAGACGAAGAAAAAGGTGTAGCAGAAGAAGATGGTTTAAGAGTTTTGATTGATTCAGAAGCAGAGGAAGAGGAAGAAGAAAATGCTGAAAAAGAAGTAAATGAAGGACTAGATGATGATAAAAAGAAAAAGAAAGATGGTGGTAAGTATCACATCTTTTGATTTTACTGCTAGAAAAGAATACAATAATGATCAATTGGGATAGGTCAGTTGTCTGTTCCAGGTTTTAATATCATTTTATAAAGATATGTACAGTTGTTTAATAAACCTATATTTATTTCTAGCTGAGAGTGATAGCAGTAGTTCTAGTAGTGCTAGTGATTCAGATATAGATAAAGATGAATCTATTAATTCAGTATTATTTATGACTGTAAGTAACTTAATACAACTATATTTGTATATACTATGTGTATATCAAAGAATTGATTATCAGTTGCTAGACAGTGGAATGCATGCTCACACCGTCTCAGTTCAGAAGAATTTCAAGTGTAAATGCCAGTACTTTAGTTTAAGAAACTACTCTCAAACAACAAAAGTATTATTTATCATATTTATAGATATATATAATTTTAGGAAGTTAATGACATCCCATATGCCTATGGTACCTGTGATAAATTTATAAAAGATATTGCTATTTTTTAGAAAGCAGAAAAGAAGAAGAGTGATAGTCGTCCAGCAACGCCCAATATTGAAGATAGAGGTAAACATAATTTATTATTAGACATCAACTAATAGACATCCCTTTTATTCTCTTACTACATCAATTGAGTCTCCAAACTAACTTTTTAACTATATCTTCATAACTTGCATTGTGTGTTTTGATATTTGGAAACAAGATTTCCATAAAAAGAGCATTATTCACAACTTGCATGCTCTGTGTATGAGAAAATTTCCATCAATAATTTTTATTTCTTTGTAAGGTGTAAAAAGGAAACAAGATAATGATTCTGTTGGTGGTAAAAAACCAAGAACAAATAGTCCAGTACCAACTACTAGTACTACCACAACTACATCTTCAGTTACATCCTCGACTATATCTCCATCTTCCTCTAGCAGGTATATATCATTGTTTATGGCTTTAAACCTTTTAATAGAAATATGGCCCCATTTCTCCAATAGTGTACAATGGTTGTGATGGTCACAATTTTAGTTCTGGAGATCTGTCTGGCAAGATATGTATCTGAACAAATACAGGTATTTTATAAGGACCAAACGAGTGGCTCAGATAGCTATCTGAGGGATACATTGTTGAGATAGTACTGTCAATTTTCTGGGGTCGTTCCATTGAAAGTTGGAAATCTTTATAGATTAGATTATACCATTATCTTGGCAAAACGTCTTCATTGCACACTGCATGCATTAGGTTGCCTTTTTCATTTTCATATGTAAAGTGAATATATATTATCTTCATGCAAGAGTTTTATATTCCAGTGATGGTATAACAGAAGAAGCTATAAGGAGATATCTGACTAGAAAACCAATGACTACTAAAGACTTATTAACTAAATTTAGATCTAAAAAACTCAATATGACCAGTGAGCAAATGACTCATACTGTAGCTCAGTTGTTAAAGAAAATCAATCCTGAAAAGAAGAAAATTAACAGTGTGCTATATCTATCATTGAAAAAAATAGAATGATATATTTTGTGCATACATTTTATGAATTATACACAAGAGATTTTTCTAGATTTACTGAAGTATAAGAAGGGGTACACATCATACATGTTTGTGTGCTGTAATTACAAATTTTATGCATACATGTTCTATCTTATTGATTTTTATATGATTTGATATGAGCTAGGAGCACTTCACTGAAGAGTCTGTAAAATCTCAATGTCATCCCTTTAAGAGTTCATGGAATAAATGCAGTGGTTGTGTTTATGTCTTGAATATCTTTGCTGAAGTACACATCATACACATAGGAGTTTTTATACGCCCACATTATAATGTGGTCGTATATTGTCGTCGCCCCTGTCCGTCGGTACACAATTGGCTTGTCAAACGGAATAGAGGCAACAGTTTTTATCTGCTTTGAATTAAATTTGGTGTGATCATTTATATTCATGAGATCTTCAACAAGTTCGAATTTGGCTATCTTTCGATGAATGGTTTTTGAGTTATCGCCCTTGACAACGCGTCAAAATTTGGTTGTGAACAGAGACTGAAATTTCCATCCAATTTTAATGAAATTTGGTGTGAATATTTAAAATGATGAGATCTTGGACAAGTTCGAATTTGGCTATCTTTCGATGAATGGTTTTTGAGTTATTGCCCTTGATTTATGAAAAACTTTGTTTTGTAAACACAATAGAAAGTACAGTTTTCATCCGATTTAAATGAAATTTGGTATGATCATTTATAATGATGAGATCTTAGTGAAGATTAAATTTGACCATTTTTCAAACAGAATTTGAGTTATTGCCCATGACTTAGTAAAAACGCATCAAAATTTGTTAGTGATAGAGGTAACAGTTTGTTAGAATTTTATTAAATAATGTGTGTTTGTTTAAATCAACAATATCTTGCACAAATTAGATTTTTGGTATGATTTGACACAGATAGGTGACTTCCCTTGATATACTGAAAATGTATCGGGAAAGTGGACGTATCTTGCAAGGCAACCACTTGTGAGTTATTGTGGGAATAGACCATGTACACTGTCCAGTGCAGGCTAGGATAATCGATGTTGTAGAGAATAGTGTCCGGACCTGTACCTTGTGTATTTCCCTCTTCCATTTCCTACTGTATCGATAATCACAGCGTACCCTGCGCCAGATACTTTCTATTTGTAGCTTAAATCAAGAAAACATTCAATGTAGGTTCTCTAAAAATTTATCTTTTTGAATAATTTATACATAAATGATTGTAAATACATGAAAAGAGAATTTTACATGATAAAAATGTTACTATTAAAAAGTTGACTCAGATAGTAGGATTGATCAGAATATCATTATAACTTCCATTTAGTTTCTCTACAGGACTGCAGTCTAAATGTTTGCAGTAATGAAAAGAGTGATCAGAATGTAATTCTGAATCCAAATTGGGCTCTTTAGGTGGGCATGTAAATATTTCCAGGATTGTGTCCCTTTAAGGAGGTGCCTAAGAATATCATACCAGGCTGTGATTCTGATTAATCTACACCAATAATATTTCATAGGCTTCCATTTTCTTTCTGTCTGCATAAATTTGCATTGCATTTTACATATTTTAATTTAATTAGGTATTTATATTCAGGTATAAAAGAATATCACTTGAAGGGTCTTCTGTCATGGGAAAATACAGAGATTGACTAGATTTTCACAAGAAGAATAATCAGGAATTTATTTATTTTGAGCATGTTCTATCATCCATTCCATAGCTATGTGTATTCCTTCTAAATTATCTACTACACAATCTTGTACCTAAAATATATAAATATACAGTCATGTATTCTCAGTCATTTTTTTAACCGATCTAAACAAAAGATACTAGGTTTTCAAATATACCTTCATCTAATTATAATTATTTCAATGATAATTAAATTATCAAATTCTAATTAAAATGTAGATGTCTTGTTTTATGTGCTTTATGAGGTTAAATCACTTGCAATGGATATCTCCTAACATTGGACAGACAAAGTTGAAAATTCTAGTGACACAGTAATTAATGAAAATTTATAATGATTTTCCCAGATAATGGATGGCAAGAGGAAACATCAGATTAAAATTGTTGCCTTACACATAGAAAGTTGAAAAGCATTACAAACCAAAGGTATTAGAACTTGAAATGTAGACATGGCAATAAGTTCTACCTGTCCACCTACAGTAGGGATGCAAGCTGAAAATAGGTCAGTTGACTGATCACACAGCATGAAACTCTTAAATAGTAACATGATTCATGTTCTGTATTAATATTTTTAAGATAGAATATAAAGAGAAACTTACCAACCACTTTCTATCTATATGTGTTAATTGAAATAGTTGTGCTATTTTATAGGCTGGTATACGTGAAATAGTAGAGTGACTAGTACATGACAATATTATAACTGGTACATGTGGAGCTGACCATCTTTCATTAATCATAGCATTTAATTCTACTAGACCATTCTTTACTGTAACAAATGAAAGATTAAAGCATACAATCATCTTCTGTGCAGACTATTTTGAGCTTCAAATTATCAGACAATATTAAAGTGAAACTCTTCTAAGACAAATATTTATAGATTTTAAACAACCCTTTCATAAGGTTTATATCAATCAATTAATCCCAAATATAGCCAGACAATTGTGATCTAGAGAAACTTCTTTTTATGCCATAAATTTGTCAAATCTGAAGGCCCAAAACAGCTCTTGCTTTTGTTTATGTTTTGGGTGTAAGAGTAACTAGTTTTTCTAGTTGCCTGATTCTATGACATAGAAATATTTGCAAATTTTTAATTACATGTACCTTGATCTTCTGTCTGTGAGGCATCAACAACAAAAATAAAAGCATCTAAAATATGACAGAGATTTTTAACAGCGGGTTGTAGTTCTATTTCAGTCTTTCCACTACCCTCTATTTTATTTTGAAATATACGACTAGTAGAGTTTTTATTACGATTTTCTCTTTCTTTTTTGGTTCCTGAGTATAAAACTGTAAGATGAAAAGTTGAGCCAGTTTTTAACTTCAGTGTCATTCCAGCCCCAATACCTGAAAACAAACAATAAAAATTAAACAAAGGCCATCCCATAATTCAAATTACAACCTAGAAAGGTCGGGGCTTCAATTTGCATCAAAAATATTTTTTCTGGTCTGGAAAAACATAATCAGCATCTATAAATCTTTATATGATAGCTGAACATTATATCAACATAACTTCTTTATGCAAAATGTTGTGTATGAAAGTCACAGATAAGAAAGGTTACATGCAAGATGCCTGCTGATTCAGAACCAACAAAAGTTGTCAGACTATAAGAAACCGGTATTTTGATGTCCATCTGAAGACGAAAATAGTCCAACAGCAAAATGTTATTATTTTTCAATAAAAAAAAAATGGCTTACCATCAAATTGTCCAGGGAACATAGCTATCCTAGAAAACTTATTGTTATCTTCATATAATAATTTACTAACAATCTTATGTGTGCTAGATTCTAGTCCAGGTCCAAACAAGGCTACACGTGGAGTTTTACGGGGTAAAAAATATTTAATCATATTAGAAACTTGATAAAATGTGGAGTTGAGTTTTTTCCAGGATCTGTTACATTCTGGTGAACATTTATAATAACTGGAAAAAAAAACAATTTAAAAGATGAAGACATAAAATTCAAATCAATTGACAAATAGTCACAAGACACACAATTTTCATATACCAAAAATAATTGAGCATAATTAAAACCTTCCCTTTAAAATTGTACTATCATATTATTAATCACTCTTTATGACCACTTTTAAGTCTTTTTACATCCAATGCACAGTTTTATAAATCTGAAGCTTAATACTCTACTAAATCTAAATAATATTTTATAAATATCAATAATATATTGAGTCATCCACAGATACTATGAATGCTGAATTTACTTACATATCTTTGAAAGCCCATTCTGAATTGACATCTTGATAAATTTGTGGATTAGTTGTGAATGAAAAAGTCTCCCATTTTGGAACATCCCAGTTGAGTCTGTTATGCCATAATACATCATCTGATGCCAGATAATTCCATTCATGACAGACGGAACAAATATTGGCCAAATCATAGCAGGGTAAGTAGGATAAAATTCTTAATTTAATGCCAATCTAAAATAAAATATATGAAATATATTAAAAGTTAAATAAAAACTATATACAGGTCATAATTAATATCAAAAGGTAATTAATTAATTAATTAGTGACTGTTTGACCCATATAAAAAGATAATAACCTCTTGCTTTAAGGTGCAAGCACACGAGCGGAGCGATCTTGGTCAAAGATTTTTGTTGCCAACTCAAATCATGAGTAAAATCTTGCGTGTGCTTCCACAACAAGATTATTGTATATCGTCGACAGCATTTATAGTACCGGTATCAAAATGTTTGATAATTGTCTCTGAAAATTTTATCGTCTGCATGACAGACTGTCATCATCCAATCAGATTCATTTTCCTTTCAATTGCATGCTCCACACGTGATTATCAACAAGGTGGAAATCGACTGACTAGACACTTTTGTCTCCTCGTGAGCCTGTGTCGTTGAAACTCTTGACAAGACTCTAATCGGCAACAAAATCTCCAACCATGACCACTCGTATGTCCATAAAGTATGGCTGTACATGATACATACTCACTGTTTCCGTGGAGATGCTTATCATTAACAGTTAAAACAATTAGGCTGGCAGGTCTACTTGACTGCTCGCTGACCCCTAAATTAGTTTTTCTTATGTGACCTTATTTATCAACAAAAACATTTCTTATTCAATAGTATTAAATTCACAATAAGTACATCTACTGAGATGATTTTTCAAATTTGCACCTTTTAATGAGAGTATGTATCCATGAATATCTATTTGTTCATTTTAACTATAAAATCTACAAACATTTGGAAATCTAAAATCAGACAATTTCTATTTTTTTTATACTTACTGGCATGGAACTAAAATGTGAAAATGTTGTCTTATTGTCTTCATTTAAATTCAAACCTGGATTACAAAAGTTTGTTCCACCCATCTTTGAATAATAAGCATCCGAAAAATGATATTCCTCTTTTCTTTTAGATTTTGATCTCATTTTTCTGATCAAAAACTGTTGAAGACCACCCGAAACAACTTTAGACTCAGAAGATTTGCTGTACATGATATATTTTCTCATCAAATCATCAATAGAATTATATATCACATCAATTTGTTCATCAAGAGTTCTTTCCACATCATTTTCACCAAGTTGACAAGTGGAATTTTCACAATTGCTTGGAAATTGTTGATTCTCCATGTTGTAAAGATACCTTGTGGATGTATTTAGAAGATAAACCTGGTAAGTAAATAATTACTGCGGTGAAGCACAAGTTACTTTGACAACCCATTGTAAGATTAGTCTTATATATACGATATTATTATCCCTAAAACGTCATTTATTGGCTTGTCAAAAATCTCCACGTGTGGATAAACAACAAAAATTTATTGACAGTCGTCACGTGACTGATCACATGATATGAAAAAGGTCACTTCCGTCTTGCCCTGCGCAGGCTCGACCTTTTAGTTTGTTGCTGGATCGGAAATGGTTGGTGTTCTTGATATCTAAAATATAATCCAGATTAATCCTCTATGAGAATGCTTGCATGAAAATAGAACGACAATAAAATTACAAATCGATTATCATATTTCATACTCACAATGTTGCAATGACAGATTCTCTCTAAATACCAGTGAAAATACTTGTCTGTTCACCCGTACTCTCCACTGCTCACGTTCAACTTGAATGAATTGTGACCATAAAATCAAGCATGTAATAATGTAAATTGGTGGTAAAGGTGGTGAAATATCTCAGTATGTTTTATCATATTTATTATGATAATTTCCATGTGCTGAGTGTAAGAAATACTAGGTCGCTGAATATGTACTATTCGATAATTTCCGTGTGCTGAGTGTAAGAAATCTCCCCCCCCCCCCCTTTCTCTTCATTATTTTGATCGATAACCATGCTGCATCATTTTAAATCTTGACTTTAATTGTGTGTAATGTGTTTCAGACGAAGGGTACATCCAGCTTTGGGCGGCGGCACATCAAGACACATGTAATGTGTCGCCGATGTGGCAGGCGTTCATTTCATGCACAGAAAAAGTTATGTTCGTCGTGTGGTTATCCATATCCCAGGAAACGAAAATGTGAGTAACTGGTGTACTATTGTCATAATATTTGGTTGATCAAATTGTCGACAACCTCATATTCATTTCAGAATTGTTTTTGTTATGACAAATATCAGATCAGTCATCATATATTTTCTTATGGTTCATATTAATCCTGTCCATTTCTTGCTGCTAATCAAATTAAGAGAACTGACATGGGAAAATGACTTGATCACTTAGGCCAGATGAGATATGTCTGGATGTTCATGGTACTTTTCAGAATTATTAGATCTAAATTCATAATTTTGTAATTAAAGAAAAACTTAAGACAGTCGTCTTTTTCTTTGTGTTATTATCTTTTGGACATGCAGTTATTTCCAATAAGTATTATGGCAAGTCATTGGTAATAATTGCACACAAGAAATACCACTGCTAGGCAAGAATGTTCATTGTGTCAAGGTTCTATTAATATTTATTTTTCTAGATAATTGGAGTGAGAAAGCAAAAAGAAGGAGGGCACAGGGAACTGGTAGAATGAAACATTTAAATAAAGTTTTCAAAAGATTCAAGTAAGAATAATTTATTCATAGCTAAAAATGCATATGACAGATTCTACAGTAACTGATCTGACAACTTCCCACATGCAATTAATTTCAAAATTACCTTTGGACTTAAAATACCTTTTTCAGATCTCTTCATGATATCTTAGCAGAAAACAGTACTTAATATTACTCTGGGAACAGGGAACGTATGAAAGAGCTTGAAAAAGTATATATTTTAAGCCTAAAATTTAAAGGATGCCTTTAAGATTCTAAATTGGTCACCTTCAATATGATAATTGAACTCCAATGCTGAAAAATGCATTTTTTAGAGCAGTTATAAAAGAAGACGGAAAATTGCAAGGAATAAAGTTTTATTTTTTTCAAATAAATATTAAATTTACAAAAAATACAAATTAACAAGAAGTTAAGGATCATTCCCTACAAGTGTAGTTATTTTGTGTTCAAGGGATGTATGAAATAATTGCTGGAACTCAGACCATATCTATTTTGTTAACTGAAAAAGCGTAACGGGAACTTTTTCTGTCTTCAACTAACGGTATTTTAACGGCAAAATTGAATTTTCACTCCTCCACTCAACAAAACCTGTATATTAGTTATCATTCTATATTAAATTGAATAAGACTATTTTATTTATTTCATTATAAATAGTATTCACAAGATACCTTTCCTTATTTGGCCAAAATAAAAATCAGTGATATAAAGTATTGTATACTGTAGAATCTGCCTTAATGGGCCATGGAAATATAAAACCAATAATATACTATATATATATATATATATATACTATATAATAAACCAAGGCGTTAGTGCCTAGAAAGGAAAAGACAATTTCCCTCATTGCACACTGCCCAATGTCATTAAACCATAAGATGAACTGAACCTATCCGCATGCTAAACATTGACATTGACTTGAATAAGGTTATTCAATCCAACTTTCTAGATAAATTATCTTAAATTTTATAATTTGTTTTTTCAGGAATGGCTTTAGAGAAGGTCAACCAAAGTCCAAGAAGGTTAAAGCTCCCGAGTCTTAAACAGCTGTAAATTAAATAAAAAAAAAAATATCGAAACAATTGTTCTTTTAAGGGTTAGGGATTGGAAATGAAATGAATGGAATTTTGCGTCCTACTTTTCTGCACCTGGGCTAATGAAGACGGGCAATGCCAGGCAGGGTGCAACGAACGAAATTTTGCCAGAACAGCGGCATTAGCCTTTTTTTGGATTTCCAACTGTTAAGATTTTTAACATGCACAGCCTGTGGCACACAAATGCTTTTTCCATGCCAGCCCCTCTTACCTGCATCACCTACGGGGAAACTGGGTTAGGGATTTGAGGTAAAATATGAAGCAATATGATTCGTTTGTAAAGACTGACAATGATCCATAATATCAGCAATATAAAATTCAGATCCAATTCAAACTAAAATTGAATGGAATATTGTTAACAGACTTGCTGTTGAGAGCTCTGATTGTTTACACTATTTTAATTTCTGCATTCTGAAATTGTGAAAAAATCTTTTAAGCTCATGTTCATACCTAACTCGACAAAAGCAAAGGAGGACACCATAAAAAATATTACAACAATATAAATATAACTCGTGGTCATGACTTAGTATCTAATGGCCATTTCCCACTATGTAAAATTGTCTTCTAAATTTTACTTGCTGCGAAAAGTTCCATCCATTCGTCTGTCCACAATTGCTCATAAACTAAAAAGCACAATTCTTGACAGATTTTCACAAAACTGGGTATGAGAGGTTATCGCACAAGGATGAACGCTAGTGAAAATCTGAAAAATATTTAGTATGAGTTCTTGAAAACATTTTTAGCACTCTAGTAGGTACAATTCTTTACAGATTTTGAAGAATCTTGCCGTGAGTATTTATCACTCAAGGATGAACCCTATTTAAAATCGGAAGAAATCGAAAAAAAAGTATTAAATGTATTGTCCTTGTTTGTGGAAATGCATTCAATTTTTATCTTATCAACACTAGAAGGAACAATTCATGATAGAATTTAACAAAATTTGGTGAAATTGTTTTAATCACTCATAGATGAATCCCTTTGAAAATCAAAAAATGTCTTGTAGGAGTTACTGGAGCTATCTGCACCTGGGGGGTGATTGTTGCAGTACTCAAAATCAAAGCTGCCAGTGTGGACATATATTATTTTGCCTGGCAAGCTATCTTGTACTTTGAATCTCATTGAGTGAATAAAATTGTGCCAACCAGCCAGATTTTTGAGAGACAAGTGCTCCATTGTTTTTACAATCCTACCTTAGTCTCAGAAACGAGATGTCCAGAATCATCCCTGTTTAAAAGTTAAAAAGACGAGTCGTCTTTTTTTGTGACACTTCCACAGAACAGACATCTTTTGAAATAGGAAAAGAAATCCTTTGTTCGAGATATATTTGAAAGAATAATGCTAATTATGCAATTTTCATACATTTCTAGTACCTCTAAGACTATTTACATATATTCAAGACTCAAATCAACCCTCGAAAATGGTGAATCTGTCCCATTCAGCCGAGGGATGTAACTTAAACTAAGCAACCAGAAATTTTGACGGATGGACAAGGGCAACAGCTGCTTTGAAAAAACAAAAGAATTGCATGATTTAAAATTGATTATATTTGCACACAAAGGTTTATTTTTCCGTTCTTCCTAAACCATCTGCATACTGGAACTGGTTACTGTTTTCATATTCACTCATGTCTAGAGCTACAAAACAACTTTCTTTAACAACTCTCTCATTGTCCAGAGAATAATTTTCTAAAATCTTCATACATCTTTTAGTTGCTATAGATCCCAATGCCTCTGCACACTCATGCCGAACCATGGGATTTTCACCTTTATCAGACAAATTGCTTGCTAACTGTTCTACACAAACATCACTCTGAATTTGACCAAGGACATAAGCTATTTCATGACGTAACAAAGCACTGCTACATTTTAAAGCTGAAACGAATCATTATTAGCATTGTTAAAATAAGACATTGAGCATGTCAGATTAAAATTTCTCTTGGCTCTTGGTAACACATCTCATTGAAATGAATTATTGCCATTCATTGTAGATTTTAAAAGATAGTTTGCCAGACATGATAACATACGCCCGCTACCAGCTGTCAGAAATGATAAAGTTTGTAGTGGTTTAATATATGAAACCAATCATCCGAGTGTTACTAATTTCAAGCTTTATTGAGATCTCATACCTAGTTTCATCAAGATCATATAAAAAATGTAGTCTCTATCAGGCTTGTGGATTGAACACGAGTTGCACAATATATCTAATATAGTGAAACGTCAAGTCAGACACGATATTTCGGTGAAAAATTATCCGATCATCACGATAATCGATAGGGATCATTCTTGATAATGACATTGACAAACAAAATTAAAATCAAAAGAATCTGTAAAGAATTGTAGCCTATAGAGTGAGCACGAGTTGCACAATATAGCTAATAGAGTAAAACGTCAAGTCAGATACGATATTTCGGTGAAAAATTATTCGGTCATCACGAAAATCAATAGGGATCATCTTCATAACAACATTGACATACAAAATAAAAATCAAAAGAATCTAAAGAATTGTAGCCTGTAGAGTGAGCACGAGTTGCACAATATAGCTAATAGAGTAAAACGTCAAGTCAGATACGATATTTCGGTGAAAAATTATCCGATCATCACGAAAATCGAAAGGAACCATCTTCATAATGACATTGACACACAAAATCAAAATCATCTGTAAAGAATTGTAGCCTGTAAAGTGAGCACAAACCAAATGTGAACGGACGGACCGACAGGGTGATTACAATATACGCCCGTCTAATGTGTGAGCGTATAAAAATGACGTCAAGACATACATTGCCAAGGGGAATAATGCTGATATAATGAAATATTACAAAGAAGTCTGTGAATAGACAACTGCACCTACTTTATCGAGTAGAAAAATAGATACCATACCTTCTGCTAAAGCAAGAACACTATCATCATTTCCAATGTTTCTTAAAGTAAACATAGCTCTGTAACGTTGAAATAGTGACAAATCTTCATCAAGAAGTGTATTTTTTAATGTAGTTATATCACTATGTTGGGCAGGAGGTGCTGGATCAACTGAATTATAAGGGTTACTTGATAATTCACTAACTTCTGGGTTTTCTAACCATTTTAATCTCTGAACAGCTAACTGACAGGTTTCTGCAACCTTTGAAAGATAAAAAAAAATACTGCTAATTTAAAGGGTGATAATACTTTCACATCCTATAAAAGGTGCCAATTCAAGAATGTTACGGATGGATTGGGTTGTATGTTTCTTCGTCACACCATGCTACAAAATTAGTGAACTCCACTAAATAACATTTGTGCACTAACATTTTGAAATAAACATAAATAAGATTGATCTTGATACGCTGCATTTGAGAATGACATCAGTATACACAATTTATATATAAATTTATAATAAATATACGAAATACATATATAAGTTATGAAAATATTTTACCTCTATAACTGGATCCTTACAGTATTTTTCTAATATTGGTAAAGCTGTAGCATTACCTATAGCACCAAGAGCTTCACCTGAATAAAATAAAGATTTATTTGTAAATAACATAAAAAAAAGTGAGGTTTTCACATTGAATCGTTCAAAATAATTATTTTGTTTCAATAACTTATACACCATTCTTTTTCATAAATGCAAGGATCCAAACAAATCAGTTAATTTGACTATAAAGTCTACAATGACGTTCTAACTGTGCTGAGATGCACCATTTCAGTATCAGCATATTTAATTTGACCAGTTTTTTTTTTTTTGCTTCTCCACAGCCTATTTAGAAATTCAATTCAATTTAACTAGGGCTAGAAGAGAACTTTTCCTCTGTTATGTAAATTCTATTGTAGTATTTGTATCATTATTGGATGACATGTAGGCCTATTAAATATGTATCCCTTTCACTTACCTGCCTCATGTCTAACCATAGGTTCCTGAGATGTGTCTTCTAAAACTTTAACTAAAGATGGTATAGCATAGTCATCCTGCATTTGTCCCATACAATAAGCTAGTTCGTGTTTTAATAAGGCAGAGTCGTCATCAAAGCAGCTCGATATGATGTCAATGGCCTCTTTACCACCAAGATTTCTCAATGTAAATAAGGCCCTAAACCTGTCTTTCAATGGACATGTTTTGTCTGTGAGAAATTTTCCTACTTCTGTTACCTTACCAGGATCAACAGTTGTCATTTTTTTCTAAATTTGAAAAGTCACAACTGTAATAAATATCTATTAACACGTTTATAAAAATAATTTATTACACAACAGCGGCCATGACACAGGAAGTGGGGGGGAGTGAATTGAATTTGAATGTTGAATCAGATATTGATCTTTAAAAACTGAAAATATATTTGAAAATTACATTTTTTGAGTCGCAAATAGTAAATATGATCTGCAAAGTCAAGCATGAAAAATTGTGGCCAACGTTTGGACTTTTTTTGGAATTTTTTTTTATTGCAATAACTTCTCCTGCCCGTTAGGACATATTTTATCTCTAAAGATAGAAGAGCAAATTCTGCAGAATGAAAATTTGAAAAATACCAATATTGTGATTGTTTATTGTAAATATATCTTTTCGATTTTATGCTAAGCTTTCTTCTTATTTGTAAATTAGGCCTAAGAACAGTTAAAAAGGGCTGATATGACATCTTAATATTATACACACCCTTGTGTGCACGATTTTTTCCCTTGAAAATATGTCCCACCCCTTCCTTGTCACTGCTCTGGCTTGTTTCTCGTATTAGTAGGTACTAAGTAGCTATGAAAAACAGTTACAAGGAATTCTTTATGCATAGCAGTTTTTTTGGTATTCATCAATGATATTTAGGCTGATATATGTTTACAAAGTCACCTGACCTCAGAAATCTGCAAATTTGTAGCCTATATATCAAGCTAGTAAGGTTATCTGTACAGTGTCAGCAAGTAGAATAAATCCAATAGTTTCAAGCAAGGTAAAATGTATTAATGTATACCGGTACTTTGACAATTACAAAATGGCGGATTGCAGTTATTACCAAACGTCACCATTTCTATTGGCCGAATTTCCTTATAATCCCAAGCTGTAATTGGAATTCCAAGTGTCGTCTGCTAGAATGTAGTCCAATAAAGGAAGTTAGGTGATAAACAAGCAGATTCCATGTCAGCAGAAAAATTCTATGGGCTATATTCTTATATTTGTTTTAATGACTTTTAGCAATAAATATTAATAAAGATAAATACTAAGAGAAGTTATTCATACCCCTGGGTATCCATACAACATGTGTCTATTGACTTATTTATAGATCAAACATTGTACCGGTACAAGAAAAAAGCTTAAGCATTTAGCAGCCATTGTCGAGGTGGTTACTCATGAAATATGGGTCAAGATAAGGGATTCATAAAGAAAATGGAAACAAACCAACAAACAAACTTCTAAGACATAAAAAAAAAATTGTGTATTTTCATTTTGACGAAATTCGATGTTGAATCCTTATATGCACATATATAGGTTTCACCACTGTAACGTTTCATATGGGCTTGACCTTAGCCAATTACTTCTATCCTCATTAAAGTTGTTGTTGATATTTTGCTCAGCCTACACAATCTTGTAAACAAGAGTAAGATCAAATTGTGAACTTACCATGTGTTGAAATCGATCAAATTTGCATTTCACGCATAGAACAACATTTCCACACCACACAGTTTCCGTCAGCGAATTGATTAGCTGTAAAGAGAGGTCATGTTAGAGGTCACGAACTTTCAAATTGATTGACTTCCGATACCTTTTAATGCTGGATTCAGAATAAAGTCTATGGCAGGTCTAGGCTTGACCCATATTATCATTATTCTTGTATGAGCTTACAGTTTCATGTAAGCTATTAATTTCTTTATTTAATTTATTTTTTTATAGGTTATGATTGAAGTTACAGATGGTCGCTTGATAATATACCAGAAATGAGGGCAGACTGGGGATCACAAGTTGTGAATAGAGAGGCATTAGTTTTTCTCTGTATAAACTATGCATTCTTTTCTATTGTTTTGCTGTCCTTTATCTTATTTCTAGTGATTTTAACCAACACTTCATCAACACAAGAAGATTTAATTACCTCTTTATCAATAATGGCATCTTGTTTTGTTTTTGTTGATCTAATTGTGGCCAATTTCTTAGTTCAATCTGTTAATATGAACTCTGAAATTCGATTACTCTTATAGCTCTTAACTTTATTCTTAAATATCTAAGTGTTAAAATATTCTTGTTTCCAAAAACGTGTACTGTGATATCTAAATCAAATAACTCTTAAAATAATCAAAATCAGCAAAATGGATATCAGTAAAGCTTCACGTCGCTTGAAACTGACTACCCGAAATGAAGATACAGGAATCATGAAATTCACATCCAGTAATCAAAATATGGATGATAAAATGTTTCAAGATGGCACTCCACTCAGTCCAAGTTCAGTATTTACAACTTCCGAGCTCAAATATATCCCCAACTGTTTCCTTAGTGCTATTTTGTATTGTCACTGGGACAACATACTTGGACCTCGATTGTACCATGTATGGAAGATAGAAAACTGTGATACACCTCCTGTGGATATTTTACGTTTTTTAAGTGGACAGATATTGAGTGGAGAGATTTGTCGTGAATTAGACAGTGGGAACATTGATTTTAAATTCTATGTGATGCCTGATAAAGATGTTGTGGTATCCTCATTTGTTTTTAGTGCTAAACTTGACAATGATTTAGCGATACAGTCTATTGGTCTAGTTTTACCATACTGTAATTTACACCTGTATTTAAAATATCATCAATTATTACAATTATGTCTACGTAGAATGATTTCTAAACTTAGAATACTTATGAATAAGGTATGTTATCTGCAACATTTAAAGCATTATCTGCTATTACAGATTGAATTTGTATCAGCTAAATGAATGGAAGAATTCAGTCAACTAAAAGCAAATTACAATTTCATTTGATTAAATTCTGAAATGTTACATTGTTTTAGATATTTGCTTGCTAACTTCAACCTGAAACTGAACCTCAATATTCTACGAGCAGTACAGATAGTTGGAAATTCTACTGTCATTTCAAAGGTTCCTCTTTTCACACTTCCATATTGCATTAGCTTTTGAAGTAAAATTATACTTTTTCAGGCTAGTTTATCTGAAAATGTTTTGAACGAGTTCTCAGCCTGGTTAACTATGTGTTTTGAAATGTTTTCATCATTGACTGAAGCTGGTTTACCACAACAACCCAGAGTAAGTATAACATCTAAATAATACAATTACCGTAATTTTACTGAGCTCGTCAAATCTGTTTTCATTGTAATTATAGTAATAACCTGTTTAATCAGATTGATCTAACTATAGAATATATTCTTATTGATTATCACACTGTAATCTTGCAAGTATGTAAGCTCATTGATAATATGAAAATGATTATTTGTCCTACATTTTTTGTTTTTGGTATAATACAAGGCATGTTCTATTTTTAGCTATCTGATACAGCATTTTGCCCACTTCATAATCTTGAGCCTGAGTTTTTATATCGCTGTATAACATCACATTTAATGACATTTGGTAGAAGTTTAGTTGTAGGTAAATTGGCTGAAAGAGTCAATCTTGTAAGTAAAATATTTCAATTTCAGTGTTTTTATTGATAATTTTCATGATTTGTTTGTATGCAAAAATGTTGAGGGCTTTTGATTTATTACAACTTTTTGACTATCTTTGGTGAAAATAGGTTTTTAACTATTTATAGAAGAATTTTAAAAGATTTTGGATAGTGAATGTAGTGTAACACAGAGGAATATGTGAAATCTAGATCTTCATTTTAATGAGATTGATAGGATAACTTGCAATTGGTAGTAAAGAAGCATTAAAAAAAGCTATTTCATAGCATTGTGGTTTTTTGATGATAGAAATGAATAAAATTTTGCAAAATGACTTGTGGCAGATAGATTTTTTTAGATTTATTTCCATATTGTAATATAAAAGATTACTGTATGCCCCATCAATAAAATATGTTCTGACTATATTACAGGTAATATCAACGCTAGCCGTTTTTAACTCAGATAGAGAAAGAGCGTGTTCCAGACTAGTTCTAGAAGATAAGCCATGGACATTTCACCATGATTTATGTGTACAAGGTCTTATAAAGGTACCTACTAGTCACTTGTGATATATTGATATAAAAATCAGATATGGAAATGCTAATTTTGTCAAAAAAATAATTTTGTATAATAAGTATAATGGTGCTGTAGTCCTTTATTGTAGAGCAAAATGGTGCTATTGTCTTATATTGTAGAGTAAAAATGGTGCTATTGTCTTGTATTGTAGAGTAAAAATGATGCTATTGTCTTATATTCTAGAGTAAAAATGGTGCTATTGTCTTGTATTGTAGAGTAAAAATGGTGGTGTTGTCTTGTATTTTAGAGTAAATATGCTCCTATTGTCTTGTAAAATGGTGCTATTATCTTGTGTTGTAGAGTAAAAATGGTGCTATTGTCTTGTATTGTAGAGTAAAAATGGTGCTATTGTCTTACCAATGAGAGAGATATTATGTAGTCAATATCCCACCACTATAATTGATGTACAGAATAGAGATGTAAAACAATCACCATATAGTCAGGAACATAAAGTTAGGAATTATGAAGTTTTACGAGATGAACTGATTTGTTTACATTATAACCAGATAGATGAACATGATGTTATTTGTAGGTAAGTTCCAATTGAATGTATTTTATATAATGTCTTCCGCCTGATCCTTTTGATGGTTCATCTGAATCTTTAAAAAGAATGCATGTGAAAAAGGCCTAAAAATATTTAAGGCACAAAGTTCAACTGTGCATCATATGAGTGTCATCTGAGCCAAATAAACCATTCTGTGACATACAAATTAAGAGCAAAGCAATAATAAGCTTTTTGAGTTCGATCAAAGAATGCATGATATATATACTTTATGTTTTTGTGTGGTGTTTTTCAGCATGTTTCAAAAGGCTCAATATAATTCAACATTAGTATCTAACTTATTAGAAGAGGTAGGTATATATAGAGGTATATATTGTTGATCTCAATTTGATATTAATACATGCATGTTTTAATTAGAAATGCTTATAATTTTAAAATCAAGGATTGTTATCCTCAGAGAAAATCGTGAAGTCAGTCATGTATGCTGAAAAACTGGAATATCAAAAAGGATGGTTTGGATCAAATGTATAAGCCTTACACTGTCATGATATCTCTGGAAGAAGACCTTACTGGCTGTCTTGATATACCAAGAATTTCTTGTAATGATAAATGATGAGGGTTCTAATATCAGTTGGTGTGTGAAAGTCTGGTGACTTTGAATTAGGTTTGGCCAATGACTGGCTTGTAGACAAGATCCTTGAGAACCTTAGTGTTTGTCCTTGTGATAAATGGTTGTTTCTTTTTTCCTTTTACATTGTGCAGCCTGTTATTAATGATATTAATTGTATTAAATCATTAGAATGTTGAAAATGTATGTTAGTTGTTATTATTTCAATAGATTTCCAAGTTATCAGCAGACTGTGGTATTAGAATAGCTCATATTCAACAATTTATCAGATATTTAAATAGAAAAGCTCTTAGTTTGATCAAATATGTAGAAACAGAAACGTAAGTTAATTTTAACATTTTTACTTTCCTGTAGTAAAGCTAGTAATCATTTTCAACTATTATAACTTCAGCTAAATTAATTGAGTTCAAGAAATCATAATCTGAAATCAGCAATTATAGACAAGAGACTTGAAGTAAGATTGATGGATATAGGAGTATATCGCTTCCCCAAAACACATGAAGGTTCAAATAGAGGAGGTATGGTGTCGGGTGTAGTCTATGGTGCAGAATTATGAATAAAATAGAAAAGCAAATTGTATCTACTTATTTGATTATCCTGGACACACCTCATCTCTTTGTATCTTAAATAGTCCTGAAAATCTATTTTCAATCTCTTTAATCATATTATCTAATTGTGATAATTTTCTGAAATATTCATTGTTCATGAAATTTGACTGTCATTTAGCAGCATCTGTTTAATTTCAGATTAAAAGGCTCCATTCCTCTGAAAGGTGGATTGAAAAAACTACGCCAAGATTTATCACTAACTATTGAGGGAGATTTTAGAATTGTCATAGCCACCGCAGAAAAGTTAAAACCTGGAATTTTTCAATTCCTAATGGGGGATGGGAAAGAAATAGACTATCAGTCTCATCCTTTAGGAGAAATTATTTAATAATTTATTTTTATCTGTGTTATTTGTGTAATGAATTTTTAATAATATTGAATAATAAACTTGTTATTGATGTTGTGACTGATTTTTTTGATAAAATATATTTTGATATTGCCATCGCACCTACCTGTCAGTCCGTCCGTCCACATTTCTTGTAGGCATGATAGAGGCTACAGTTTTTAATAATAATAATAGGATTTATTTCGTACACAAAGTACAATAGTTCAAGTATAGTATATACAACAATTTACAATTAAGAAGTTGCTAGCATCTCAATTATTTCATTTAAATATGAAGATTCTGGATAATTATCATGTCTAAATAGAATAAAGTCTCTGATTGCAGAGCCAACTCTTACATCCTCTTCAGAACAGTTATCACGGTCATTATGTCATAATGTGTACAATTAGGGACATTTTCATATATTTTACACTATATTTACACATGTTAAACTTTCGACAGACAAAATTTACATTACTGCACATGGTTGAGTTACTACCACATAGGGCATGCAGATCACATAGTCTTAGACAGTTATTATTGCTATTAATGATACTGTAATAAAACTTAAACCTTTTATACAGCTGTGTCTCTATTGAAAAATCATTACAGATTATTTGCAATAGTTTGTACGTGGAGATATGTTGAATAGTCTTCTGACACTTTTATGCCATGAACAGAAAAACTTGTTAACTGATGTACTTGAGAAATCCTTGGGAACCATACAAGGGCATATTACAGAATGTCTTAAATAGCTTATATTTAACAACGGAGGGAACACATTTGAAGTTTTTAAGGGTTACATTACCTCTTGTTATAAACCCGTCAATACCTTGCTTTAATTGGTCACTTTTAGTTTTACAGTTAAGGTTATTGCCCAAATGGCAATCACTCCTAATATGTTTAATGACTTTACCATCGAGGGTCACATCTTTTAAATGAGCATTACCACCTTTCGGTGGAAAGACAATTAATTTACTTTTTTCTGGATTAAAGATTAGGTCATATTCTAAGGCATATTCATCAGCAATATTGAGTAAGCCGATCTTGATGAAACTTGGTATGCATGTATATATTTATAAGTTCAAAATTGATAATAATCGGATGACCGGTTTGAGCTATCTTTATATTCTTAAACTAATACACATATCTTTGAATGAATCAAAATATAAACACTAGCAGTCCACTATTATGGTTATAGCCTTGTCACGGGCGGCCAGCAACGTTGTGGGATGGGATGGCGTCAGGGGATTGTCAGAAGGACCCTCAAGAGAACCTAGCAAGTTGGGAATGAAATTTTGAAACATAAGTCTCCTTCATTCCCTTTTACCAATAACCTTATTATCGCCCATCTGAAGGTCCACTTTCATTATCTGCGCATATCCCTCCATGGTATTTAGTTAGACTTACATCATATATTTTTCCTAGTTTCATTATAAAATAAATACAGCGTAAAGATATAACTGAAGGCCATGTAATGTCAACATGTTATGATGGTTTTGATTTATTCTCTTGATATAGTTTACATGGTTCAATAATTTGTTTATCAAAATTGCCCCCTTTAATATTTGAACCCTTGATAATTAAATATTTCCTTAAAATTAAACAGATTTAAAAATCTGGTGAATTTTTTAAATACCAAAATAACTTCACTCTGGTCTTGTATGTATAGGATTAAACACCACCAAGGGTTTTTATGATATTTTAAACCTGCATACTGAGGAATTTAATCATAAGGGGCTTACCTCTAGGAAAAGGGATTTAAATATTAGAAATGAGAGCGGAAGTGTTTAATAAGAGGCGACTGTTTAATTTCATATTTAGAGATAGATATACATAAAAATGAAATAAGGGGTGCGACTCCTTCCAACAAGATTCAATCAGCCCTGCCAGTAGCGACCAGTGCGCTAGACTTTCTTTTATTCTAGAAATTGAAACGTACTCCTTCTGTCAACTTCCTCGACAGAATCCTAGGAAATCTTTCGATTTTGGGAACCACAGTTATTCTTGGGAAGGAACAAATAATTAGTTCTATAGTATTGGTCGAATAGTATTTAAACGTGCAAGTGATAAGAGATGTCCCCTCAGTTGAAAGTGATTATAGAGTTGTCCGGTGAAATTCGTGCCCAGAAACTGAAGTTAATCAACCGGAGACCAGTGACTTTTGAATTGTCCCTTGAAAGGCCCCATTAAGAAATAACATCGTAACGAACCAGGGAATAAACAAATAGATTCTAGAGAATTAGTAAATTCCTGGGATTATGGTTATATTTCATCGTTGGCATGTTGCACGAATTGTACTTGAATTGAATTAAAGACAGATCTATTGGAACGAAGTGGTTAGAATATTAAAAGTAAGGAAACATTCTACGAAATTATTTTATTCTGGTTTCTCTTGCTTTTAATATTAGTTAAAGGGCATTACTTTGGCAAAGAGTCTGCAATGGTACAATAATTTGAGTCACCATGTTCTTCAAGATTTACACATAAAAAGTAAATTCCATTTATTAGGTGTGCCTAAAAGGCTTATGATTCTACGAGATTATAGCAATAAATATAATGTTTTTTTTATTTTAATTGTTCGATCAATTTATAATCTTATTTTCAAGAAAATACATTTCAAGGGTGCGTCGTTTAGTTTTAAGTAAACAATTTTATCTTTTCGAGTGTTCATTGTGACCATAAAGTTTTGTATGTGGTAAAAAATAAGGTAAAAGGGGTATTGAAATGTAATTTGTTTGTGACTATGTAAATCTATACAGAAAACAGGTTTAAATAAAAAGTAGTTATTAACGAGCATTGTAACAATATATTTGATATTCTGTTATTTACAGTGGGTAATTAGTTTCTCCTTTTCCATATATACATGTAAGAACACGTGATCAACACTGTCAATTTTCTTTATAGAGAAATCAATTGATAGTTTACCTATAGATTATTGTTCATTTGAATAGAGTATATGATAATAGATCCCTATATACCCTTACCCTATCTTATCACATGACTACCACCACTAACAAACCCTACAAATCGTTAACACTCTATAGATGTTTGTGTGACGACAATGTCTTTATATATGAAATCGATCTGACTATTGATATTATTACTTTCTTTATGTAATATTGATGTACGCAGTGACTGGAATTGAAAGAACCAATATGGTTTCCATGTCAGTGTATCGCTGAACGGATTAAATCACAAGGATTAGTGAATGACCTACAACAGGATGTGCTTGAAACATTGATAAAGGGTTGATACTTCTATCAGATAAAAATGAATGTTCAGAGACCTAAATCAGCCTTTTCCATCCGTGGACCGTCTATGACATTGTGTGATGTTATAAGATGTGGTTATTATAAACACGTTGGTTTTCTTGTAGAAATGGGAATCGTTATTGATGAAAGTGATCAAGAAGGTAAAACACCTCTGATATTATGTGCCTTTGTGGAACCAGAGTCGTGGGGTGTGGGACTAGCGAGGATTCTAATAGAACACGGAGCACAAGTGTCAAAGAAGGATAGATTTGGTTTGAACACTTTCCATTACGCGTGTATCTACGGACGCTTTCAATTAGCTAAGGCCCTACTGAATGCCATGGATTTCGATATTAACGATGTCGACAGGTATGGAAACACAGCACTTCATTACACAGTTAGAAGTGGAAATTCTATGATTACCAAACTGATTGTGGACGCATTAAAGCGTTACAATTTGCCATTGGATACCCGGAACAGACATGGACAAACAGCCCTAGAGCTGGCATATAAACTTAATCGCTATAGCTGTGTCAAACTGTTAGAGGATGACGATACGTTTGAGATACCCTGTGAAGACACAAACCTAGTTCTTGGTTTTGAAAATAAGCGTCAAGGTTCCAGAAGGTGTTACAGAGAATGCTGTCGAAGTGCTCCTAGTGGTACGTTTGGCAGGAACAGTTACAACACCATCAGATCTACCAAAAATCTTAAAGCAAACCAGAAAGATCCAGAAAGACTCATACACAGTGCTAGTGCCAAAGATTTCCGGAATACACCGGAAAATATCTTTAAATTAACATCAATTCCAGTTGATGAATGTAACAGCCGTGGTCAATCTAGGGAATCGGCACCATTTATTCGTCCAGATACAGCTTTCGCAAGAAGCCCACAATCGAACAGCAATAATTCGTCAGACAAATCGTGGCGGAATGAGTTGAGGAATCTGTATCTGATGTATGAATATCAATGCTGTCCATCATGGAGACGACCTATTAAACCTGTTGTGTACCATGTAAAAATTGAAGAACCACCAGCCGACTTGGATGAGGTAGACAAAGTCAAGGACAAAAGAAACAGACGAAGTAGCTGTACCTCCAGACTAAGTCTCAATTTAGATCTGCGTCGACGGTCTTCCAGCTCACCGAGAACTCCCCGAAAGGGTTCAACGACAAATGTTGATAAGCGATCTCCATTTGGCGATAATTTGTCGAGCAGCAGTGAATCGAGCGCTAGAAGTAAAAGAGACGGTCTCAGTAAAAATGAAATAAGTCCGAGAAGTCCAAGAGGCAGTCCAAAACATTTGGACGTTGATAGTGTATTTAATTAACTTTCTGTACTTTTTTAATTGTTGTAGATGATCTTCTCGAAACTAAAATAATAAAAACTCTACGATTTTCTGATTCTTATCCGTTCGCCAGTCTCTGGACGCTTGCTTGTACACAATAGACTATCTTGTGCCGCATTTTTGTAGAAAATAATTTTTTACTCAAGGGTTACTCTGGGGAAATTCATGAACTCTGGACCCAATGGCGTTATAGTAATAACTGTCGGTAGCAAACATAATATTTATTCACAAAATGTGCCTTATATTTTTTGGACCATCTCAAATTTCAGAGCAACTGCAATTTCAACATCAAGTAACATTCGAGAAATCTACCTGAGTTCACCGACTGAAATCTCACAGATTCATCCAATCGCTTTCAGTTGGTCGTTTTTTAATTCAACTTTCTATCAAAACTGAATCCGGTAGTCGTAGTGACCGGTCAGAATCTACGATCATCCACTAAATGACGGCATAACTTCTTCATTTTCCTGAGCGTTTGGTGCAAGTCCTCCAACTGACATGAGCCTTTCTTGATACACTTTGGTACTGGCTATGTAGGTTTTAAGCCATGTTAAGGGTAACCTGTTATTAGCATTCATTAATTCCGTTGTTATCTCCCTTCAACAAAATATGTTTTGCTTTCTTTCCATGCAACAGACATTCAAACGATTGCCACTGGGTCAGATGAAACTATTATGTCTACCTAGTTTGGCAGTATTTTACAGCTATAGGGTATGGTTTGGGCTATACGTTTTATTGTTTCCCATTTAAAGGCGAACTGTCTGAAATCATAACCAAATCCACGATTATTTGTCCAAACATTTGTCATCTTAAACTACTGATGGCAATTAATTGTATCTGTTTCAGTTTGGACATTGACGAAATGAAATCTCCAAAAAGAACCTTTTGATTTCATGATATCCTGAAAATTATACATATTTCGCCATAAACATTTTTCAAAAATATCTTTTTATCGATATCTTTATTTCATAGGTGTGTTTTTGAAATAAAGCAATGTATTTATTCTTACAGTTTTTAGAAAATAATAATAAAGTATTGTCCTTTAAATATCGAAATTACCGTATGAAATCCACTAAATTTGTTTAGTTAAACACTGAGACTGTCATTTGTGCTGTTCTATGTATCCTATATTTTGTCCTTGTCAATATCTCGACAATGTCCTTAATTAAAATTCTCTGACCAGTTGAAAAGATAAAGCATCAAATGTTAACATGTACAAAGCAAGAAGTAATTATAACAGTTTTTAGTGGTAAAATTTGATTAAGAGGGATTGACCTTTTACAAGTCCTTACATGTAGCTTTTAACATTAACTCAAATGTCAATGTCTCATCATTTCTTCATCTGATGATGGTCTCCGTTTCTAATCAATATGTTTCAGTTTTACTGTGTACTTGTGTTTTCAGACAGATCTGATTTCAGAAGTCATAATTCGTAAGTGTATAGGATAAATCACGACATTTTCGGATTTTATGATATCGGGGTAAAGTGTTTTGAATATCATAAAAAGTCAAGGGAAAGTGTTTTATCTGACCCATAAATGGGCAGAGATTATTTGAAAAACAATAAAAAAGTACTGAAATAAAGGCGCGCCTTCCAGATTCGGTCAGTTCATCAACCTGTGAACTTTCTCCATTCCATTACCCAAGGCCTTTGACGCCATGAGTCGGAGAAAGCAAGTGATGATGTAAACGGTATTCCCATCTATTTTACGAAAACAAAATGTAGGTCAAAACGCATCGCTCGAACACGACCTGCACTCGATAGTGTCCACTGGAGATATGCAAGGCATCTCTATATTATTTATCAATCCAAAACATTCTCGGGAAGTTAAAGTCTTCTGGCAAAGGGATGCAATTCGTATCTACAAACGTTTTCAATTCATCCGGCGACCAGTGAGCTAGATTTTTTATTCATTGATAAAGCCTTCTGGTCTTAATATTAGACACAAGCATTTGATATTTTTATCTCTAGTGACGCCATATTTTTTCTGTTACAAATTATGTTAATATTCTTAGGGAGATTGTAATCCCCAGGGTTTCTAGGTATATTATGTATATATTCTCAAGGAGATTGTATTTTAATGATATTGCTGGGAATATACCCCAGGGTTTCTAGGTATATTATGTATATATTCTCAGGGAGATTGTATTTTAATGATATTGCTGGGAATATACCGCAGGGTTCCTAGGTATATTATGTATATATTCTCAGGGAGATTGTATTTTAATGATATTCCTGGGAATATACCCCAGGGTTTCTAGGTATATTATGTATATATTCTCAAGGAAATTGTATTTTAATGATATTGCTGGGAATATACCCCAGGGTTTCTAGGTATATTATGTATATATTTTCAAGGAGATTGTATTTTAATGATATTCCTGGGAATATACCCCAGGGTTTCTAGGTATATTATGTCTATATTCTCAGGGAGATTGTATTTTAATGATATTCCTGGGAATATACCCCAGGGTTTCTAGGTATGTTATGTATATATTCTCAGGGAGATTATATTTTAATGATATTCCTGGCAATATACCCCAGAGTTTCTAGGTTTATTATGTATATATTCTCAGGGAGATTGTATTTAAATGATATTGCTGGGAATATACCCCAGGGTTTCTAGGTATATTATGTATATATGTATCTGTTAAAATAACATTTCTAGAAACCCTGAGATATCTTATGAAAGGGATTTTATAAGATAACAAACCAGACGTCACTGGAGGTTTGAAAGAAAAAATATAATAATGTAATATAGTTTTGCCATATATTTAAGAGTGTGAAATCGATTCAAAAAATAAAATCTAAAACTTTCGACATAACCAGTTACAAATCTTTGGTTTCCTACCAAACAGTTTGTTAAGAGGTGAAGGATGGAAAGCACCAGATTCAATTCAAAAAGAAACAAAAAATGATATACTAGGACCGATAGGCTAAATAGGTGTTTACTAATTTATAATATAAAAAACCTCCAAACTGGAGCATACATTGGCGTAAAACTGAAATTTCGGCATTCTAGATATAAGTAGAAGATATTGTCTATGTCCATGTGCACAGACATAAATACCGTTATACCTTATAACACTTACACGATAATGTTACGAATCACGAATCACCGGGAAAATATTATAATTCCTTGAGGCATACCTGAACCTAAACCGTGAGCCATTAGATACGAACCATCGATCTAATCAGATGATACAATAAATTTTGGATTCACATTAGCCTACGTTATTTTAGGAATTATACTCATTAGTTACTGTGTAGCTTTTTCCCCTAGGGAATGCCTTGAACTTTTCAAATACTATTGGCAAGGACTCGGAACACTACAAAACATAACTAAATTAAGACCATTGTGTCTTCTTGTAAGCAAAGTTTCGTTACTGTGTCCAAATCAATGAATGAAATTGTTAATATTATGTGTTTAATAACATTTTTCTTTTTTAAATAAGTTTCATTAAAAAAAACTAACTTTATTTTTCGATTAGAATCGACCTTTCCTAATAATGGCGTACAGTTTTGACAATATTGTTTCGGTTTTTATGCTTCATTTTTTTCCTATTGTTTTTTGAAAATTACTAAGAAGTCGGCGATTGAACTGTCATTTAATTTTCTAAATATGGCCATCAGGAACTCTACTCTTAGATCAGGAAATGAAAAACGGAAAATACATAACAACTTCTGACGTCATTATCGCTATTTTAGAAATAATAGTTTTCTTTGAGACAAGTCGTACAGCAAGAGATTTCTTGTAATGTGAGACAGACTGGATTAGTTGAGACATATTGAAATGTGTAGATTATTTATCATTTCCTTATAAATTCTAAAACAACAGGCTCATCATCAACCAAATCAAATATAATACTTAAGGAAGGGCGAGACAAATTACAAACTGCTGCAGACAATAAAGGCTACCAATTTTGTTTTGAAAACTATCTTTTGTGCCAGTTCGTCTCTAAATGATAAAATCCCAGTTTTCCAGGTATTATATATCACAATTTGATTATTTTCGTCATACCTGAAGAATCGTTAGCACTGTTGTCTGTAAGTTGTCTGCAGTTATCAAGTTTAGGGTTAAAAACGGATATCCGTTTGGTCTAAATTAGCAACAGGTTGACCCAGTCACAGTTTCTTACAGGAAAAAATAAATCAACGGTAACGTACAAACAGTAGGTTATAAGTCGATACAATTAGAGTACATGTACCTGCGTTTCAGGACTAATCCCTTTATCAAGCGAAAAAAAGAAAAAACACTAAACTGACAAAAAATTTCTTATGGGACGAGTAATATGTAAGCTTCTTTGCTTACGTCCGAAACTCGTCCTGTCCATTAGAAATTCCGGAATATTCAAGAGCAAAAGCAATGCCAATTCTACCGCTTACTGCTCCGTTAAACTCTAGTCTTAGGCTAACTATTGTATACCTTTTAAAAGGCTAGACGATCCTAATTGTTTTCTTGTATTGTTGAAATATCTCGACCTTCTGACTCCAGATAATCAGATTAACTAGTAGACTATTAGAAATAATAGGATGTTGAAATATCACTAATCACAGGAGGTTTTAATATACATTGCATAAGACATCGTAGATGATAAAGAACACGAAGAATGGCTTAGAATATGAAATGACACTAAAGGGATAACATATTATGTAGTATATTATCGCGCACAAAAGATCAGAGAAAAAAAGACGACAATAAGAGGAGGGTGACATCAGGTGCTCCGGAAGAGTAATCACGTAGGTGTTGATCCAATTTTCACTATTGTGATTTAAAGTAACATACCGGCAACACACTTTCTCGTGATTATCATCAATGATCAATATAGAGAGTTTGAACACGCGCTTCCAGGGTCACGTGGTGGATTTGATGCCTATGGAAGGTGTATATTGAGAAAGTTCTACTGTATTTGATTATAAACCTTGCCTTTATTTATATTGTCGCATTCTCTACATATTATTTTCTCGTATAATGTTTCAC